ATGCTGTTGTGTAAATTTGACAATATAGCAGCTGTTTAAAAATTAGCCATAGCTTTACTGCAAATTATAGATACTGTTATAAATGTCGTGTAAAAGATCTAACAGCTGTAATTAGTAATTAATGTCTTCAATATTTTCATGTGATGAAGATACAATGACAGACTACAATTTAAGTAAAGCTATTTAGGTCATGCATGACAGAGAAGATTAATTATCAGTTACAATACATAAATTACAGTGAATTTAGTTCTTGGTGATCCAGGATCAATCTTCACTGATGTTGAGGCCCAGTATGGTAGATAAAAGTTCTTGTACATTTTATTATTTTCTCTGCTCCAACAAAGGTCCATGATCAATCTTCACTGATGTTGAGGCCCAATTTTCTCTGTTCCAACAAAGGATGTGATGTTTCCACTTTCAGAGTATTATGTAACATGTCTAATGAATTTATGGAAGATGTGATATATATGAAAGCTGTGGTTCTTAGGTCAAATTTAGCTATATGTATTGTATAAACATAAGGTGGACATTATACAAACCATAAATAGGAAATATTCATATAGAAGGCTGGAACATTCCAGGAATGTTTGTTAGCTCTATATATATATACTGGGTCATTGTCTAGTGTGCTTAAGGCTGCACCTTTTTAAGTTCATACGGAGTGCATGATACATGAATGCTAAGAATACTACGTTTAGATTGTACAATGGAAATTAGGAAGACAGATAAAATAGTCTGTTTCAGCTTGATACCATGTATTTATATGTCAATACCAGAACTGACCCTGGAATCCAACCCTACTATATATAACTATATATATATATTTTGATAATTTTGCTGTTCATGGGATATTAATGTTTTGGACTTGTTTATTATACAGTTGAAACTCATTGTCTTAAAATCGCTTGAGTCAAAATTCTGTTTGAGTCAAAATAATTTTCAAGTCCCGATTGTTTTCCTTCTTTATCTTTGTAACGTTAGTTCGGATGACTGAAATTTCATGGAGTCAAAATTTCGGTTGAGTTGCAGCGATTTTTCAGTCCCTTCAATGGTAAAGCAAGGGAAAAGTCATTCGTTGTCTTGAAATTAATTTTTGTGAATCATTGGCTTGCTTAGAGCATTCCTATATAAATACAATTATCTTACCATATGATTAGCCTTAAATTTTATATAAATTCTGCTGACTGACCCCACCCATGGGTTTTTTTTAAACAAATGAGTGGTACTGGCCCTATGGGCCTCTTCTTGCATCACCATTGCCAGTTGATTACCTTGTCTGAGTCACATATAGATACACAGACATGCACTGTATTTTTATAACAGATATAGATTGGAAAGTACATGTTCACTTGTTCCTGTCAAGGCCAACATCCGCATCACATTAAAACTGTCATCATGTATCACACATGTACTGGTTACAGTGCTTGTATATACATAAGTTGTTATATCTCTATTGGTCCACAAAGTAGCAATGTTTATAATGAAACAGAATTCTTTCAAATCTATAAAAGTTCAGTATTTAAACCAGTAAATATAACATAATATCTCTATTGGTCCACAAAACAGAAATGCTTACAATGAAACAGAATTCTTCCAAATCTTAAACCAGTTAATATAACAATTTTTATATTGATACATTAATATGTTATAATCATTCAATTAAGACTTACACACAGGTATATATAACAAACAATAGCATGTACAATGTATGTATTTGTAGCATACTTGCTAAAATCACTTGAGGAGGAGGGAGATTCACAATTTTAGACATTTAATTCTGTTTTTTTCAACAAGTGAATTTTCTGAATAATTCTTGTATTTTAAGACATAATGATTTTGTTTGAATGAACAATCCAAAAGATTACAAGTGTCATTTCTTTACTTGAGGGTACAGACATATTTTATGCTTGCTTTAAGCAAGAACACATAAAATATCTCCCATTATGATTTTAAAATGTTGGCAAGTATGTTGTAACAAAAAGGATGGAAAAGCTACAAATTGTAGCATATGAAATAAAGATACCCAATACTAGAATATAGTTCAACCCCTGTACCTCCAATATACATCAAACTTATATGATATTAATTAATACACACCACCATTTGACTTCAGTTATCTTTAACACCTGCAGTCCTGATCACCTTAAAGCTGTACCATATAGGAATATGTGGGTTTAATCAGTGATAATGGCTTCTTTGCATGATTAGTTGAATATAAAGCCCACAGGTTTACTGCAAATCATTTGCAGTAAAGTTTATATTTTACAATGTATGGAACTAATATGATATTTGAAAATCCCCATGTAGTTACAGCATTGGTGTGTTTCTAGATCTGCTAAAACGCTGTTACAGTAAGGCAGTAATATCAGGCGTTAAGACTGAGAAATAAATTAATAAAGAAAACAGTGTTAAAAAAATACTTAATTATTCATAATCTTTAAACATAGATGATTAATAAATTTTCCAGGTTATAATCTGCACCTGTATATAAACTGCAGAGCTGATTTTCACAGAGTTGTTCGCTATTTCTTATGATATGGTTACCACTGATGTTTGATAGACCTTCTCAAATTTAAGATATAGGTTCCCCTTTGTCCCTTGTTGTGCCCATTTATTTATGGGTCTGTTCATAAAAAGAAAATGGCCGACAGATGGATATCTTAGATTTTAACTTTGGAAGGGTTTTATTGTTATTTCCTGAGAACCACAACATAGAACTTAATCGTATTTCTTGTGTATGCTTTCTTTGATCCCTAATTGTGCCTGTTTGATTTTGATACTGATCAGCAAAACAAAATGTCTCACAAGTGGCCATCTTGGATTTTGACTTTGAAAGATTGTTATTGCTATTTCTTGAGAAGTACATGATGGATCTTTTTTTAAATTTATATGTAGGCTCCCATTGGTCCCTAGTTGTGCCAAAATGATTTTGGAACTGATCAGTAAAACAAAATGGCCACAGGATGGACATCTTGGATTTTGTTATTTCTTAAGAAGTACTGAATGGAGATCTCTCAAATTTCACATGTTCCTGGTTTTTTTGGTCCACTTATAAGTCGCTTCGGTATAAAAGCCACATGCCCAACTGACAGGAAAAAAGAAGTGGCTTATAATCCGGAAAATACAGTTATACATGAAAGCATATTCTTTATCTTCTATATTATACTTTCTCAGAAGCTGGATATTATTTATGATAATTAGCATCAGAAATTCTATAGCTAAAGCCCACTATTACAATTTATACCTGTCAAATATGTTAACCTTTATATAGCTAACACATTGCATATACAGTAGCTGCAATAAATTTAAGTACATGCACACTCAAGTTTGGACTTAGTTGTGCTTGGAATCGAATACATGTATACATTACTTTCAGTTATAATATTTCACTAAAATGTAACTGCTACCAGAGAGAAGCTAAAGGACTCAAAACCATATTGGCTGTCATATTGTCTCCTTTTTACTGTTGTATATTCAAATGATAAGAAATGATATTAGGCAGTACTATGTAAAAAAATATATTGGGCAGTACAATGTAGAAAATTATATTGGGCAGTACAGTGTAGAATATGATATTGGGCGAAATATTGTAGAAAAATATATTGGGCAGTACAGTGTAGAAAATGATAATGGGCGATATAGTGTAGAAAATGATATTGGTCAGTAGAGTGTAGAAAATTATATTGGGCGAAATATTGTAGAAAAATATATTGGGCAGTACAGTGTAGAAAATGATATTTGGCGATATAGTGTAGAAAATGATATTGGTCAGTAGAGTGTAGAAAATTATATTGGGCGAAATATTGTAGAAAAATATATTGGGCAGTACAGTGTAGAAAATGATATTTGGCGATATAGTGTAGAAAATGATATTGGGCGATATAGTGTAGAAAAATATATTGGGCAGTACTGTGTAGAAAAATATATTGGTCGATATATTGTAGAAAAATATATTGGGCAGTACAGTGTAGAAAATTATATTGGGTGATATATTGTAGAAAAATATATTGGGCAGTACAGTGTAGAAAATTATATTGGGCGATATAGTGTAGAAAAATATATTGGGCAGTACAGTGTAGAAAAATATATTGGGCGATATATTGTATAAAAATATATTGGGCAGTACAGTGTAGAAAATTATATTGGGCGATATAGTGTAGAAAATGATATTGGGCGATATAGTGTAGAAAATGATATTGGGCAGTACAGTGTAGAAAATTATATTGAGCGATATAGTGTAGAAAATGATATTGGGCAGTACAGTGTAGAAAATTATATTGAGCGATATAGTGTAGAAAATGATATTGGGCAGTACAGTGTAGAAAAATATTTTGGGCAGTACTGTGTAGAAAAATATATTGGGCGATATATTGTAGAAAAATATATTGGGCAGTACAGTGTAGAAAATTAAATTGGGCGATATATTGTAGAAAATGATATTGTTTAGTACAGTGTAGAAAATTATGTTGGGTGATATAGTGTAGAAAAATATATTGGGAGGTACAGTGTAGAAAATTATATTGGGCGATATAGTGTAGAAAAATATATTGGGCAGTACAGTGTAGAAAATTATATTGGGCGATATAGTGTAGAAAAATATATTGGGCAGTACAGTGTAGAAGACTAAATTTTGCAGTGATTAATATATAAGAAATTAAATTTGGTGGTAAAGTGTTGAAAATTAGAGAAATTAAAATAAAGAAAATTCCAACCAGTGTAGAAGCCCAAAGACAACAGCTTTATGTGTGACTGTTAACATATTTTATGATATATTAAACATTATATAGACACAGGTAAAAAAATGAATGTCATGTATTATATATAATTACTTGGAGATGATGAGCATGGTAAGCCCTTCAGATATAAGGATGTTAAGTATGATTTACACACACCCATATCCTACCAGCAGGGATGATATGATATATCTAAGACTTTATTCAATGTCTTTGTAGAGATAAACATGCATGTATATTTTCATATTGTCTGAATTTCTATTTCAGACTCCTGGGTGGAGCTGAATAACTCAGGCCCACAGGATCCCCTGGTGCCACAGTCTATATATAATGGAAATCTGGAAAAGCTACTTATAGATGCTCAGAAGGAATCACGCACACCCTCACGTGCCAACAGTAAAGAATCCTCTGCCAGGGGGAGGTAACTCACATTCTATTTATCTGTGTACTTCTGTCAGGGGGAGGAAACTTACTTTCTATATATCTCTCTCAGGAGGAGGTTACTTACATTCTATTTATCTCTGTACCTCTGCCAGGTAAAGGTAACTTATATTCTATTTATCTGTGTACCTCTGTCAGGGGGGAGGTAACTTACATTCTTTTTATCTCTGTACCTCTATCAGGGGGAGGTAACTCACATTCTATTTATCTCTGTACCTCTGTCAGGTAAAGGTAACTTATATTCTATTTATCTGTGTACCTCTGTCAGGGGGGAGGTAACTTACATTCTTTTTATCTCTGTACCTCTATCAGGGGGAGGTAACTCACATTCTATTTATCTCTGTACCTCTGTCAGGTAAAGGTAACTTATATTCTATTTATCTGTGTACCTCTGTCAGGGGGGAGGTAACTTACATTCTATTTATCTCTGTACCTCTATCAGGAGGAGGTAACTTACATTCTATTTATCTCTGTACCTCTGCCAGGTAAAGGTAATTTATATTCTATTTATCTCTGTACCACTGTCAGGGGGAGGTAACTTACATTCTATTTATCTCTGTACCTCTGTCAGGGGAAGGTAACTCATATTCCATTTTTGTAATCCAGGAGAAGTTGAGTCACCTGGCATATATACTCTTTTTGATTACCTGTTGTTTAGTATCCTCTGCCTTGGGGCAACTCTTGACCAACTCTTAAGGTTTGTATGCCAGGGAAGGTAACATCATTTACACACATACAGGATAATTAGATAGACCACCAAGGGGAGATAACTCACATTTGGTATACCCTCACATATTACTAATTAAATGTATAAATTCCTCAACTAGGGAATGGAGACCATTATGCAGTACAATCCCTGTACATTCAGTAAATGAGACTCCTGTAGTTTGTAAACTGGTATACTGTTCAAACCCTTACTGATCAGAGAAATTGGCAACTGATCAACTCTCAATGGATTTGTACCTGTCAGAATTTCTATAGTATATTATGTGAGAGAAGAATGGCAACAATTTGTGGAAAACAACACCCAGTAATAGTTTGGAATCAAGTACTTTACATATACACTTAACACATTTGAATGGTAACTGTGAACACCAGCTGTCTTTTAAGAAAACACAATCCAGTATGTTTCCTGACATTGAATGATACTGAAATACTACAGTAAGTAGCTGATGTTACTAGAAAGATAGTGTACAGGACGTAATAGAAATAGTAGGATAATTAAGTAAGTATCTGGTATGAAGATTGGAAATCCAATTGGTCATAGTATGAAAATGTCAATGTTTTAATGTTTTTTCAAATCATTTATTGCTTAAATTACCATTAGCATTGGAAATGTGACAATAAAATGTTATGAAACTGTGTTTTCCATATGCCGTGTTTTTTATGACATCTGATTGGCCATGAAAAATAACCACTAATTTACCTGCCAATGAAACGTAGTGTTTCAAAGTTGAACAGTTTACATTCTGTTGGCTATTTTTGTTGGCAAGGATCAGTTGCAATCTTCAGAACACATTTTATCAGAATTGCAGAGATACACAATTTATATATACCAACTTTGCAATGATACACCATAATGGAGCCTATAGAGTTATGGATGAATAAGTTATACAACAAAACATCAGCTGATGACATGGCAGTGTCGCATTCGAATATGACCATGTGTAAACTGAATATGACATGAAATGTCACGATCGTTCACAATAATTATGATAGCAGTGTAGATATTTGAAAGAATAAACAAACAAAAGTCAAGGAAAATCATGGTTCTTATCAAAAAAGCAAATCAAATTAATTGTCTTCAAAAAATTTCTGATAGAAATAAGTCAGTTTGGCAGATCTGAAAATAAACTTCCTGTTTTAGACATCCGAAAAAATGTGTCAAATGTAAATGTCACATTCCATTTATTATCACAATTTCCCCTGACAAATAGAACCTGATATTAAGGGAGTTTCATTGTAATATTCATTATCCACCTGTTTCTAATACCTCCTGTTATCCCATAGCTGTTTCTGATACCTCCTGTTATCCCATAGCTGTTTCTAATACCTTCTGTTATCCCATAGCTGTTTCTAATACCTCCTGTTATCCCATAGTTGTTTCTAATACCTTCTGTTATCCCATAGCTGTTTCTAATACCTTCTGTTATCCCATAGCTGTTTCTAATACCTTCTGTTATCCCATAGCTGTTTCTAATACCTCCTCTTATCCCATAGCTGTTTCTAATACCTCCTCTTATCCCATAGCTGTTTATGATACCTCCTGTTATCCTATACCTGTAACTAATACCTCCTATTAGAATAGGTATTGAATATTTTTGATATTAGTTTTTCATTAAGAAGTAAATTTAAAGGATTTTGGATCAGTCATGGAAATACTCAAGTTTACAAATTTCAAATTATATTGAATCATTGTACATACAGTAGGTACCTCTCCAGACTAATCTAATTCCTTGACAAAACATCCAGAATTAAGTTTTTGTTAGTCCTATCACCAGACAATGACAGATTGGTAGCTGTTCGACAGTGACATCTGCACTTGGAACAGTCTGTTTCTTTTGCATTCTCACAACCTGATGTTTCTCAGGGCATTTGACGTGATCCTTTGGTTTCTGACTTACCGGTAATTCTCCTCCATCACAAGAAGGTGCTATATATATTGTTAGTCAGCAGTCAATAGAAAACCTGCTTCAGGACATCACATCAGGTTTACTTCCTCAAAGCAAACAATATGTAGTTATTGATAGCACGGGTGTTGATATATTGTGATATTTCGGTCACTGATATTGATGCATTTTGAAATATCGAAAATTTAATTAAAATCATTATTCTACAAATCGTCATTAGTTAAAAGGAATTTATGATTCTGCAATGTTCAAAATTTTTCTTTACGATATAAAGTGTGCAGTTAATGTTGAAATAATTTAGATGGCTCTCCCACCTCACATTTTTAGGTGTGTTGACATATACAGAACTTAGAAAATAAAGTATCATTACACAACATCCATATATTATCCCAAGATTTGCTTGTTCATGTATCCATACATTTTCTGAAAATCAGTAGCATTTCAGACTGTGTATGTATATGATACTATTCCCAGACAGACCTGAGAATATCTCACAGTGTTAATGTGAGTACATGGATTGATGTAGGTGTATTGCGTTCGATTAAATTGGCTAGTATATATGGAATAGACATAGTATATAGGTAAATCTGATGAGTGTCCGGAGGCAAGGGTCAAGCTGAGCTACTGACCAGCTCAAGTATGTCAGTGTTGGTCAAGCTGAGCCACTGACTAGCTCTAGTATGTCAGTGTGATTAGCTTGAACTCTGTATGTGTTACTGTATGTAGGTAGGGCAGATGGTCATTGATCGTATTTGGTCAATATTTAATGCTAGTGGACAAAAGACTGTAGTGGAGACAAAATAATCTTTAAACCATCATAATGACAAGGTTATCTCATCTTGATTGACCACTCATTCATAATGTAAATATACATAGAGCATTTAAGCTTAAGCCTGAAAAAATACTGACTGACCTGATGTGTGTTTTTAGGTCATGTGACCCAAAGGGTCAAGATAATCTAATGCTATCATGCATTGTCCTGCGTCTGCACCATGTTCCATCTGCTGTTTGATGTCTGTAAATTTTTGCTTCAAAACACTATGTCTGCTTAATGCCTAGATGGATTTCAACCAAATTTGGTCTGAAACATCATTGGGGGTGAAGGATCATTTCTTAAATTCAGAAAGTTGAATCAACCCTAGGTAGTTGGGGGCAAGGCCCCAAAATGGGAATTTAGATGGTATTTTGCTTCAAACGCTACTGTTCCATAAGGCTTGAATGGACTTCAACTGAATTTTGTCTAAAACATTATTGAGAGTGGGAAATCATTTCATAAATTCAGAAAGTTGATTCAGCCCCTATGGACTTAGGGGCAGGGCTGCAAAAGAGGATGTTAGGAAATAATTTGCTTCAAATCGCTTCTCCTTCTTAATGGCATGGTAGATTTCAACGCAAATGGCCTGAAACATTATCAGGGAGAGGCAATGACATCAAACATGAATGAAGTGATTGTCAGATGACCATCAAGGGCCATGGCCCTCATATCTTGAAAAGGACTGGATAGATGTTTCTAAAAAATCATATGTTCCCTTTTGTCTCTAGTTGTGTCCATTTGATTTTTGGACTGATAAAAAAAACAAAATGGCTGATAGGCAGTCTTCTTTGATTTTAACAAGAAAATATTGTTACAGACCAAATAATGTAGGGCACCAAGATCCTTCTTGGATCTCTTGATGTTGTCTGGCTGAAAGCTTGATTTTAATTATGTTGGGATATATAATTGTAGATTTTCATTTTTGTTTTAACTTTGGTAGTTGGTTACCATGGTGTTTTTGCAATCTTTTGATATCTGGATCATGACCGAAGGTAAAAGTTTTTACAACATAAAACCAAAGATTGTCCATGTATCATGTACAGTTGTCAGATGTATTCAATTTGTTTCTTTATAAATAAATTACCTGGTTGGTTCTCCATACTTTTTGTATAGTACCCTGAACTGATCAATATAGCCGCTGACCCTTATTTGTATACAGCTCATACCAGGCACAATGTGTGCACTAAACCTAAAGTGTTTAAAATATTTATTACTTACTGAGTTAATGTGAAGAATTCAAGTACACAAGTAACCTGACCCTGATACTACTTGAACATGCAGTGCAAATTCTGCGATAATGAAAGGAATACTTATCAAAGGTGTTGCAATCATATGATGGCACGCAATCTGACTTTATGAGTACGTTAGCTTTTATATTCAGTGCAAACATATAAAACATATGCATGTCTAAATTACAAAATCATAATTTGATAAAGTCATCATGATGATGATATTAAAAGATGTGTTGTATCGTATGTGCGATGGAAGATTGTATGCTGTGTTTATCACTAGAACAACTCATTTTGAGGTGGTCATTTCTTGTATTAGCGGATGGATACCTCAGAACACCATAGGGGAGGCCATTGCATATCATCAAGAATCAATGGAGGTTAAGGTCAATACTTGAAAATAAAAAAAAAGAAAATTACCAAAAGATGATATACAAAAAAGAAGATAAAATATTTGGAGCATTCAAGAAAAAGGAAACATTCAGAAGAGTATATATACAAAAAAATAAGGAAGAAAATATTCAGGAGATTTTCCTTAAGTATAATTAAGTCTACCCCTATAAAGAAAAGTGGTAATTACGTCACATTTCAGTTAGTAGTCAGTAGCACTGTGTATTAGCGTGTTAATGTCTACTGTCTAAAAATCCTGATGACAATAAATAAGAAACTGAAACCAGTTCTCACTTGTCCTTCCAACCGATCTGGCAGAGAACCCTAATCCTTAACTCTATATTATGAAAATATTCAATAGTTTTCACTCTATATTTTTATTTCCTGTATAAATCTGTACTGCAGCAGAAATTCTACAACCTGGACATTCAAGGATGCTATTAATACTGAATTACATATAGTACCTAGTGGTCATTCAAATAGCTTAAAAAGTCAGAAATTCTACAACCTGGACTTTCAAGGATGCTATTAATACTGAATTATATATAGTATATAGTGGTCATTTAAATAACTTAAAAAGTCAGAAATTCTACAACCTGGACTTTCAAGGATGCTATTAATACTGAATTAGATATAGTATATAGTGGTCATTTAAATAACTTAAAAAGTCAGAAATTCTACAACCTGGACTTTCAAGGATGCTATTAATACTGAATTATATATAGTATATAGTGGTCATTTAAATAACTTAAAAAGTCAGAAATTCTACAACCTGGACTTTCAAGAATGCTATTAATACTGAATTACATATAGTATATAGTGGTAATTCTAATAGCTTAAAAAGTCAGAAATTCTACAACCTGGACTTTCAAGGATGCTATTAATACTGAATTAGATATAGTATATAGTGGTCATTTAAGTCCGGATCGATCATCACACCTTTCTCCGGTGATTGATGCTACTATCATATCTATTAATTAGAAAATTTTAATTCATTTCACAGTTTCTAGTGGAGACTTAATTTTATATTGATTTTCTGATGACAACACCTCAACACTCATGTTTATTACATTGTTAAATAATGAATGAACTTTATACAAGTATTCCATCATGTGTGATGGCTTTCTGTTAATTAAATCTGTTAAATGTATATGTGCATGTTGGAATTATGAGTTAAGTTACTCACAAATTTTATTTCTCCAGTTCTTTAATAATATTCACAGATTCCGTTATTGCTCTGTGGAAAATCTGATGGTGAAAGAGAGTTACAATGAATATTTAAGATAAAATTTCATCTTTTTCAGTCCGAAGAGCCCACACAGTCCAAACAATGAACTGGCAACACAGGTAATAATTTTATCTAACATCATCATTTGTTGTATAATTAATATAATTAAATTAAGTTATCTCCCCTTTTGTACTAGCGTAATTAAGGTAACCTTTGTTTGTTCCTGTGTTTATGAGAAGTCAGGGTCATTTTTAGGCAGAGTTCACCTTTTTAGTAGCTGGTAGCTTCTTCAAACAAAATACGGAAGGCCCACTAAAGATCATCCACAGCCATAAGGATGAAGTGTCGTGTCTAGGTATAACCACAGACAGGTCCATTTCTCATCTTTTTAAGAAGTCTTTCAACATGTACATTGTATATAGTGAAATCTTGTTACACCTATATATTTCTATACCACAACCAGTTTCCGATTTAGTTCAGTGTGAACAAGATGGGAGTAGATAAGGCTATGAACACCAGTCTGGTCAAGTGTATGGAAACACAATTGTTGGTCAAGGCGAGACACCCACCAAAATACAATGATATATTTACATTCTGTGTTGCATTCTCTTATATATCATTAATACACCAAATAGGAGTATAAGAGACAACATATTACTACAGTTTACACTGATTTGGAATTAGAAATCTAGATATGTCTCCTAGGTAACTGGCTTCTGGCACAACTATCAACATACCGTAAACTGAGATATATAAAGTTGCTGGACTTAGATGACCTTCACAAGAAATAAGTAACTTTACAAAGCTGTCTAATTACAACCCAACAAAAAATATGTCAAACATTTAATTTTGCTACAAAATTATTATCATCACCATAACATACGATAAGCCTTCATTCAGTTCGAATAAGTGGGTAGTTTGAACATGTGATCTTTTTTAATAAAAACAACTATTTTCTGTCTAGTGATAGTTTGAACCCTTTCTAGTTTGTTTCACTTACATTTCAAATTGTTCAAACATATCACGAGACCACTACTATATATTGTTAGAGGCATTGGTGTTGCATTAATCACTCCATGTCATCACTATTCACATTGGCATTAAACACTGTTGGTAAATGACTATCATTAGCAATTGGTGGCACCAGATTATACACATACATGTTACATAACTAGAATTGATGTGTATTGGGATTTATTCCACATCTTGCCGTAACATCATGCACACACCAGCTGACCCAACTCTGTATTACAAGCTAAGCGATCAGTAAATATTTACGGACCTTGGGATTCCGGCATGTATTTTGTAAAAGGGCAACATTGTTACAATTCACATTCTCATAAGATAATCATATCAAGACTGTCCCAATAATTGTAAGATTCATAAAAATTGTAGCAAGCATTAATCCATAGTCATATTAAGTCTTGATCAACGCCGTGCAACACTCTGATATGTTAATAGTAACTTCTGCCATTACACAGAAAGATTTGTGCTTCTTATGGGATGGTTTCTTGGTTACAGTATCCAAAGTTACAATTATAATTATTATTATTATTACATTCTTAACGGCCTGTCTACACATAAAAAAGGTCATTAGGGCCATCAACTGATAAAACACACTGTGATCCAAAAGGAAATAACATTAAACAAACCAAAAGGTAAAAGGCAAATGTTAAAATCTTAAATGGGTAACAAAAGATTAAAAAAGGTATGTCATAGTCTATTATATAGACCAACATCTTTCAGGTAATGTAGAATTTTACAAATCTCAACAGTTTCAAAGAAGATTTTAGACATGTAATGTTACGATAAAAACATTCTCAAGAAGACAGAAGGTCAACGCAGTCCAATAAAAAATGTTTAACAGTGAATGGCTCATCACATCCTACCAAAGTTACAAAGATCAAAATGAAACTTATGATTTCTTAACTGTACTGCAGTACAGTAATTAATTATAAGTGTTTCAAAAGATAATAAGAATATACATGTGTGATATTAACCAGAAAGTAACATTAACAGAAGTGACATTAAGTGGGTTCCACTGTAATTATTTGACTCCTGATGAATTACAAGACACTTTTGTTTTGTGAAATCTGACTTAGAGCCACATCACTTTTTAATATCATTGCACAATTTTATTTTTAAAAAATGAAAAAATGCATTGTCAAATAATGCATTTATTAAGATATTGCAAGAGCTTATGTTTTTATATCAATAATCAAGTTAAATTTGTGACTTCACTGTTTCATATGATTGTTATTTAAGTGAAGGCAGGTTCCTGGTGTTTTTTTTAGCTCACCTGGGCCAAAGGTTATCTGTAAATGGAAATCAGTTTTGTGGAAAATCTGTCATCTTGTTCTTCAGGAATTGCAGGATATTGTTCAAAATTGGTCTCAAGCATGCTTGTGTAAAGGAAAATCAGTTTTTTTTTAATAGATGTTGGGTCTCGGGGCCCCCGGCTAAAGTGGCAATCCCAAATAACGGCAGGATATTGCCCAAAATTGGTCTGAAGCATCTTGGGTGAAGTTCTGGTCCCATTCCAGGACAGATTACATCTTTGAAGCCAATGGGATTACAATTCCTTAACTTATTAGCATTGCTTGTCCACTGATCTCTGTCCCCACCCCTAGGGAATTTGAAGCTGTATCTGTAGGGTGAGGCTCATCAGGGGAAATGTTTTCCTTTTACAGAAATGTAAAGTTTTGCATTATTGACTTAAATATCCAGATGGGCAATACAGACCCTCTGGGCCTCTTGTGTTTTCGTTTCATGCTTTATAGATATTTGAGAAAGGAAATATTAATAATTAATTGTTACCAGATAGGGTATACAGTTGAAATGAAGCCAATCGGGGTAGATGTTTCATCCAGAATGGCTTCATGTCAAATCTATACTGAATCTGGTAACAGTTTATTGTTTACATATACTACCAGCATTTATCCTGCTTACTTTGTTAAATCTTGTCATTACATCAATACTATCTACCAGATGCACATCCAGTTCCTATTGGTGGTTAGTGACACATTTTATGTCTTCATGGCTCTTCAATGTTATATATTCTATAGACTTTAGTTAGACATATTGTAAGTTTCAGTTTGTTTGTATTTTCATTCCCTGTTGGATTTCGTGTTGGTGTTAGATAGTAATGTTTATGACAGTACTATAATGTTCTTTGTGTGTTTTAGGACTCTGACAGAGACCCAGGGACAGACTGGATCTGGGATTGGTCCAGCAGACCTGAGGCTCACCCTCCCAGGTAAATATGGTACATCTGTGGGTGGGGAGGCTGACCCTCCCAGGTAAATATGGTACATCTGTGAGTGGAGAGGCTCACCCTCCCAGGTAAATATGGTACATCTGTGGGTGGGGAGGCTCACCCTCCCAGGTAAATATGGTACATCTGTGAGTGGGGAGGCTCACCCTCCCAGGTATATATGGTACATCTGTGGGTAGGGAGGCTCACCCTCCCAGGTAAATATGGTGCATCTGTGGGTGGGGAGACTGACCCTCCCAGGTAAATATGGTACATCTGTGGGTGGGGAGGCTCACCCTCCCAGGTAAATATGGTGCATCTGTGGGTGGGGAGGCTCACCCTCCCAGGTAAATATGGTACATCTGTGGGTGGGGAGGCTCACCCTCCCAGGTAAATATGGTACATCTGTGGGTGGGGAGGCTCACCCTCCCAGGTAAATATGGTACATCTGTGGTTGAAAGATAGGAAGGCTCTTCGTCCAATGCTGATATGGTAGATATGTAGGTTAAAGATTGAGAAGCTCATTCTCCGAAGTTGATATGGGACATATGGAGGGTTAAAGATGGGAAGCACTCTTTTCAAAGGTAGAAAATATGGTATATATGAAGAAGAGGAGACTCATCCTCAAAGGTAAGTATGGTGTATCTGTATATGGTACAAAGGTAAGTATGGTGTATCTGTAGTGGAGGCTCACCCTCAAAGGTAAATATGGTACAAGAGGTGTGGAGGCTCATCCTCAAAGGTAAGTATGGTATATCTGTAGGATGAGAGGTGCTCACTCATCCTCAAAGGTAAGTATGGTATATCTGTAGGATGAGAGGTGTGGAGGCTCATCCTCAAAGGTAAGTATGGTATATCTGTAGGATGAGAGGTGTGGAGGGTAAGTATGGGTATCTGTAGGATGAGAGGTGTGGAGGCTCATCCTCAAAGGTAAGTATGGGGTATCTGTAGGATGAGAGGTGTGGAGGCTCATCCTCAAAGGTAAGTATGGTGTATCTGTAGGATGAGAGGTGTGGAGGCTCATCCTCAAAGGTAAGTATGGTATATCTGTAGGATGAGAGGTGTGGAGGCTCATCCTCAAAGGTAAGTATGGTATATCTGTAGGATGAGAGGTGTGGAGGCTCATCCTCAAAGGTAAGTATGGTGTATCTGTAGGATGAGAGGTGTGGAGGCTCATCCTCAAAGGTAAGTATGGTATATCTGTAGGATGAGAGGTGTGGAGGCTCATCCTCAAAGGTAAGTATGGTATATCTGTAGGATGAGAGGTGTGGAGGCTCATCCTCAAAGGTAAGTATGGTGTATCTGTAGGATGAGAGGTGTGGAGGCTCATCCTCAAAGGTAAGTATGGTGTATCTGTAGGATGAGAGGTGTGGAGGCTCATCCTCAAAGGTAAGTATGGTGTATCTGTAGGATGAGAGGTGTGGAGGCTCATCCTCAAAGGTAAGTATGGTATATCTGTAGGATGAGAGGTGTGGAGGCTCATCCTCAAAGGTAAGTATGGTATATCTGTAGGATGAGAGGTGTGGAGGCTCATGGTATATCTGTAGGAAAGGTAAGTATGGTATATCTGTAGGATGAGAGGTGTGGAGGCTCATCCTCAAAGGTAAAGGTAAGTATCAAAGGTAAGTATGGTGTATCTGTAGGATGAGAGGTGTGGAGGCTCATCCTCAAAGGTAAGTATGGTATATCTGTAGGATGAGAGGTGTGGAGGCTCATCCTCAAAGGTAAGTATGGTGTATCTGTAGGATGAGAGGTGTGGAGGCTCATCCTCAAAGGTAAGTATGGTGTATCTGTAGGATGAGAGGTGTGGAGGCTCATCCTCAAAGGTAAGTATGGTATATCTGTAGGATGAGAGGTGTGGAGGCTCATCCTCAAAGGTAAGTATGGTATATCTGTAGGATGAGAGGTGGGGAGGCTCATCCTCAAAGGTAAGTATGGTATATCTGTAGGATGAGAGGTGGGGAGGCTCATCCTCAAAGGTAAGTATGGTATATCTGTAGGATGAGAGGTGGGGAGGCTCATCCTCAAAGGTAAGTATGGTATATCTGTAGGATGAGAGGTGGGTAGGCTCATCCTCAAAGGTAAGTATGGTATATCTGTAGGATGAGAGGTGGGTAGGCTCATCCTCAAAGGTAAGTATGGTATATCTGTAGGATGAGAGGTGGGTAGGCTCATCCTCAAAGGTAAGTATGGTATATCTGTAGGATGAGAGGTGAGAGGTAGGCTCATCCTCAAAGGTAAGTATGGTATATCTGTAGGATGAGAGGTGGGTAGGCTCATCCTCAAAGGTAAGTATGGTATATCTGTAGGATGAGAGGTGGGTAGGCTTATCCTCAAAGGTAAGTATGGTATATCTGTAGGATGAGAGGTGGGTAGGCTCATCCTCAAAGGTAAGTATGGTATATCTGTAGGATGAGAGGTGGGTAGGCTCATCCTCAAAGGTAAGTATGGTATATCTGTAGGATGAGAGGTGGGGAGGTTCATTTTCTGAAGTAAATGTTTATTGTAAGGAAAAGTTAAGAACGGGAGAGACTCATCCTTCAAGGTAAATATGTTATTAGGGAGAGTTAGAGGCAGGGAAGAAACAACCTCCAAGGTATATTTGTTGTAAGGAATGGTTAGAGGTGGGTAGACTCACTTTCTAAGGTAAAAATATTACAAAGTAGGAGTAGGGATGGGGAGAATCACCCTCCAAGGAAAATGTGTTGTTAGGAAGGGTTAGAGGTGGTAAGATTTACCATTCAAGGTTGATATGATAATAAGGCATTTACTATCTAATGCCATGGTAATGATAATAATTTGATGCAGTTGAGGCATGAATTGAGGGAACGTGGTAGAGGTAAGACCATAGTACTCCTTGCATCTGGTTCATGATAAGAATATCCTCTTTTAACTTGATGAGTTTTTGGTGACAGGTAAACAATTGTTTTTACATGGAGATCTGCTTTCCTATTCATAATGGTGTGCAATCTGCCTTGTATTGGAAACCAAGATGGATGTCACAAGCATATTCAAACGCAGAAATCCATAATAGTAGACATGTTATTGTCGGCTTTGTTTTGTAAGGTTAGGCCTACCATCATCAGACCAACTGATAATCAAGTTTGGTTGTGTGAGTGAGCGTTTGAAGATGCTTGTCGTCTGAGGAGCTTTGCTGTATTAATTGATTCCAAATTTATTTGTATCAATAATGATGGCTTATTTTTATTCCAGTGACTGGAATGGAAGATTTAAACATCGCATTTGTCGGGAAAAAATGACTTCAAGGAATAGCCGAGTATCTAAGAGTGGTGTGTTTACCATTGACAATCTGCCACAACTACTGCTTACACATGCCTGTTCATTTTTCCTGGGGGCCGCCGTGTAAGTCATCCATCCTATACACATCCATCTATAAATGCTTATTTGACAGCCAGGGTCATTTTTAAACAGGATCACCTTGTATTAGCTGGTGACTGATCCAATTAACACAGGGTAGACCTCACATGTCACTGTAAGAAATCAGGATAAAGTTTCTCGCCCAAAGACACACACTATGGCACAAAATACAACTTTCAAGTAATGCATGTCTTTGATGTTTATAGAAAAAGATGTTGATTTACATTTTCATACTTACAATTCTCTTATGAGCTGTCATGAATTTTTTGTTTGTATAAATAATCAAAACAATCAATAATCAGAATTAAATACATCTGATAATAGTACATTTAAGTATTATATTAATGATAGAAACTCCTAATTGATTGTTGATGGGATGATAACATTCAGTATATGTGGTATACAAATAAATATACAACTCAGCAGATACATAATGTAACTAATAAGGCCACATAAGAAAAAGGGGGTTGAGAAACCAATTACTTACTCCTGTTCTCTTAATTAAGGATGTTGTTTTTTAGGGGATCTCTTTTAGCTTTTTCCAAGGGTTGAATAAAATCTTGACAGAGATTAAGATAACTTTTTCCAAGGGTTGAATAAAATCTTGACAGAGATTAAGATAGCTTTTTCCAAGGGTTGAATAAAATCTTGACAGAGATTAAGATAGCTTTTTCCAAGGGTTGAATAAAATCTTGACAGAGATTAAGATAGCTTTTTCCAAGGGTTGAATAAAATCTTGACAGAGATTAAGATAGCTTTTTCTAAGGGTTGAATAAAATCTTGACAGAGATTAAGATAGCTTTTTCCAAGGGTTGAATAAAATCTTGACAGAGATTAAGATAGCTTTTTCCAAGGGTTGAATAAAATCTTGACAGAATTTAAGATAGCTTTTTCCAAGGGTTGAATAAAATCTTGACAGAGATTAAGATAGCTTTTTCCAAGGGTTGAATAAAATCTTGACAGAGATTAAGATACCTTCAGAAAATTGCATTTGTTTTGTAATATTTCTTTGAAAAATATATATTGTGTTCCAAGATAGCAGTAAAACCACAAGAAGGTGAAAGCCCCGAAATGATAATTCTTACAATATATAAGCTCATCTACCTTATCTTACAATATATTATCTTGTTTAACAATGTATTATCTTGACTAACAATGAATTATCCAATTTTACGATATGTTATCATGTCTTATACACAATATTATCTCGTCTTACAATGTGTTATCTTGTCTAACAATGAATAATCTTGTCTTACAGACATTATCATCTTGTTTTACACTATGTTATAATGTGTAACAATGAATTATCTAGTCTTACATTGTATTATCTTGTCTTACAGACATTATCATCTTGTATAACAATGAATTATCTTGTCTTACATTGTATTATCTTGTCTTACAGACATTATCATCTTGTATAACAATGAATTATCTTGTCTTACATTGTATTATCTTGTCTTACAGACATTATCATCTTGTATAACAATGAATTATCTTGTCTTACATTGTATTATCTTCTCTTACAATATGTTATCAGGTCTTATAAACAGTATTATCTTGTCTGGTGTTATTGCCAAATGTCAAACGTCAGTGTTTACTTATAAGTAGAGCATTAGGAGATAAGTAGTATTCAGTAATACTTCAATTGAACTTTACACTTGTTCACAGGATGTTTGTATGTCTGAAGAGGTACTGCAGTTGGACCACAGTTGCTTCCCCTGCCATGGATTAAGATATACAAAAATGTATCACGGAATTGCGTTCAAGAAAAACAAACTTGTTTCGACTTCAAAGTTTGGATTTTTATACCTGGATGAACATCCCCAGTCAATAAAGTAGACATCGCCAGGAAGCATTCCCTCTCTTTGTCATCAGAAATCAAAATGTTACCGTCACCCATGATGAACATGTGATAGTAATAGATCATAATTACCTATGTGTTGTGTTAGGTATAGACTATTTTTATTGAATAATATTATACTGTATTGAGCTTATTACATGTATGTGATATACAGTTTTCCTTGTGTTTAGATCAGTCTGGGCTACTCCTTATAATCAACAATGTTTGATTCTGTAATACTGTTTTCCTTGTGTTTAGATCAGTCTGGGCTACTCCTTATAATCAACAATGTTTGATTCTGTAATACTGTTTTCCTTGTGTTTAGATCAGTCTGGGCTACTCCTTATAATCAACAATGTTTGATTCTGTAATACTGTTTTCCTTGTGTTTAGATCAGTCTGGGCTACTCCTTATAATCAACAATGTTTGATTCTGTAATACTGTTTTCCTTGTGTTTAGATCAGTCTGGGCTACTCCTTATAATCAACAATGTTTGATTCTGTAATACTGTTTTCCTTGTGTTTAGATCAGTCTGGGCTACTCCTTATAATCAACAATGTTTGATTCTGTAATACTGTTTTCCTTGTGTTTAGATCAGTCTGGGCTACTCCTTATAATCAACAATGTTTGATTCTGTAATACTGTTTTCCTTGTGTTTAGATCAGTCTGGGCTACTCCTTATAATCAACAATGTTTGATTCTGTAATACTGTTTTCCTTGTGTTTAGATCAGTCTGGGCTACTCCTTATAATCAACAATGTTTGATTCTGTAATACTGTTTTCCTTGTGTTTAGATCAGTCTGGGCTACTCCTTATAATCAACAATGTTTGATTACCTGTAATTCTTTGCTACATACATTTCTATTTATATTTGTCTTTGAAATAGAAAATTCCCCATTTTACAGACGCACAAGATTGTTTACTACATACTGTTCTTCTAAAAAGTGTGAAATTCACATCTTGATGTTGCCCTTTTTCTCCAAAACTGAAGAAAAATTACACATGATTAATTACACCTGCCAGTTCATCATAAGTGGTATAGTATGATTTTGTTGTAAGGTCTTGACATAGCAAGATATGAAATTTCAACAAAAGTATTTAGCTATGGAATGTGGTTTCTTGGTATGAAAACACATATTACAATAATTCATCCTTCAATTTTGCTTTCTGAGAACATAAGTTTTGTTAATATGTTGTTTATTTCTAAGTGTTAACACACAAAGAATCAGCATTATCTAGTTATGTCTTGTTACTTGTTTAATTTTTAGATTGTCAAATTTAAAAAAAAGTAATGTTAAAAGGCGTTGTTTGATATTACACATAAAAAACTGGTGATGGGAAATAATTGTTTATAAATGATTGTTTTCATGTAGGTAGGGATTGATTTCATATGTTTGGAGACATACATTTCTATCAACTAAAAAAAGCTTCATATACATATTTTAAAAAAAATAGAAAATTCAATTCACTGTTAGAAAAAATATATAGAATTGTTTTATTGATGTTATATGTTAAAGAAAATCAAATACACACTATCAATACTAGTCAAATTTCATTAAGTCCTTTCTTTATCTTACCTTTCATTTCATGTTCAAAAAATGGAGACTGCAATGATGTTTGTTATCATATGATCACAATCATAACAATATTGATGTACTTTTAAGCACTTACACTGAAAAAGACAAACTTACGTAACAAATTGTCATTTTTCCATATTCAGGTGATTGCTAGCCATAAATCATTTATTGGACAGTGAAGCAGTTTTATCAACAACTATTTAGACCTAAAGCGGCTTATTTTCAGAATGGTAGAAAAGTACAATGGATTCAAACAAAACTGATTCTAAAGAAAAGATACCAGAACGATTTTTGACATCTTTTGCACTGAAAATAAAACTGATGCTGATTGAACGTTTGTAAGAGGTTTGTTGATATTGATTGATGTACTGATTAATAAGTCAAATAATATATTTTACAACACAATTTTTTAATCCATGTTTCCTAAGTTATGTAATGATGTCATTTCTCAAGCAAAGAATTACAAGAAGTGTTCTTAGTAAAATTGATGGATAATTAACTAGTACATCTCCATGTTGAATGTCAAAGACAGAGTCACTTTGTGTGATAATTTGAATGTATAACAGTACGTTAATTTCCAGGATAAAAATCCATTCCTGCTCACTGGTGTCAAAAATGGGTCATGTACATGTATAACATATGATACTCTATACAGGCGCTACAATTTGCAACATGGCTCTAAGATAATGATCATTATTATAGTTTAACTATAGTTAAAAGATCCTGGCTATATGCATGTATCTATCTGTCAAATTTCAAATTCAAATTGTCTACAAATTCACAAATGAATATAAATACAGTGTACTTCCCTGCATCTTGCCTGAAATCTTGAATGTGACAAATTTTCGTGAAAATTCCAGAAGAAATCTATATTTTTTTCTTAGTTTTGATAATTACTAATTTTGTAAATTAAGTTACAAACTGTACCAGGTTTTATTCCATGATGTAACATTAATTTTACTGAGTTTGTTTTATTTACACGGTCATTTAGCTGTACAGTTACATATTATCAGGAGCCATTGTTACAACGATTAGATAGGCAGTAGTCTGAATGATTGGTTGCTAATTTGACCTTTACATATTGACCTTTAAACTCATCAGTTGGTATGAGTCAATCAAATGTTTGAAATTGAAGTATTTGATAATTCTCATTTTTGAACATTTTGGAAATACATGTATTTTATAAAGAATAACTTTTGAAGCTAGATTTTCAGGTCAAAAGTACATGGTAGAGGTCAATTGCAGAGGTCAAATTTCATAATGTGAGATCATGGAAAATTGTCTGTGTTTATCAAAAGAAAAAGTGTGGTAGCTAGTCTAAGCAGTATTATCTCTGAATTGTCTGAAGAGGGATTGTCTGATTGAGTTGTTAAGTAATATACAGTTGTCATGAAAACAGTTTCTACAGAGGAGTTGTACTTGTCCAGGTGAGGTTGAATTCAAACTTTCGTTATTTTTATCCTGGCTACCACTAATACATGTGAACTATCATTCATGGATATGTATATAAAAGAGAAGGTAATGTTAAAGGGGAAGTGTTTGATAACAGGAATTTATTTGTACATGAAGAATATGATGTTTTGTAAATTTATTTTTTTCTGACCTATTGTCAGAATACATACATCTTATATGGAATAACACTTTTTTGTAACAAGTCCACCTCAAATTGGCAGACAAAGATCACCAGATCAGAGATTTGTATTTGTGTAAAATCTTACTTAGAATTAGAGGTACATGATAAAAAAAGGAGTTTAAAATGTACTGGAAGGTGATATCATTTCAGTGTGATACATGTCATTAAATAATAAGGGAAATAATGTTTAAGGGCAGTAAGAGGTTAAATCAGTCTTGGTTTGGACTTCATGCATACCCTAAGGTAGAGACACATACCCTATGATAGAGACACATACTCTAAGGTAGAGACACATTCCCTAAGGTAGAGACACATACCCTACAGTAGACACATACCCTTAGATAGAGACACATACCCTAAGGTAGAGTCACATACCCTAAAGTAGAGCCACATACCCTAAGGTAGAGAAACATACCCTAAGATAGAGACACATACCCTAAGTTAGAGTCACATACCCTAAGGTAGAGCCACATACCCTAAGGTAGAGACACATACCCTAAGATAGAGACACATACCCTAAGGTAGAGCCACATACCCTAAGATAGAGACACATACCCTAAATTAGAGTCACATACCCTAAGGTAGAGCCACATACCCTAAGGTAGAGCCACATACCCTAAGGTAGAGACACATACCCTAAGTTAGAGTCACATACCCTAAGGTAGAGCCACATACCCTAAGGTAGAGACACATACCCTAAGGTAGAGACACATACCCTAAGATAGAGACACATACCCTAAGGTAGAGCCACATACCCTAAGGTAGAAATCACGTATTCCCCTTTACTTACCAAGAAAGACTCTATCTTTAGTCTTGTCTACTCCTTTGTGCAATGATAGTCAGTTGAATCAAGTGGTGCAGATATGGCTTCTTGTTGTATGACATCTTGAAGTCATGTTCTTCAACAATTCTACAAACTGTAAAATTGATTGGAAATTTTCGCTTCAACATACTTGTTTCATTTCTTATTTTTAAAAAGATTCTGTTTTGCTGATTTGAAAGGTGTAAAAGTCTCAGACTTGCTAACTTGGATTGGTACATGTTTGACTGTATCAGTATTTGTGAATCAGTTCCTTGATGCTCAGTTTTAAAATGACATTTGGAAGATTAGAAAATATGACATATGACTGTTTTGTTATTGTAATGTGCATACACAGCATATTATTGTAAGGAAAGGTTCCTCTGTTACTTCATCTAATGTGACACGAAACATGTAAGTGATTAATTAATCCTGTTTTATAGTAACACTGCATAATTTGGTTTAGACTTATTGAACTAGAAAAAGGATGGTTTTATAATCAACATGTTGATACAAAACACAAGCATTATGCTTGTCCCCACACAGGAGGGATTTCATGCATAACATATTGATTTTATGAAAAATGAGATTAAATACTGTGAAATAAAATTATGAAGCTAGTGAATTCAAAAGATTGAAAGTGAAATGCAGCCAACTTACAGCAATGTGAATTTAATTTCATTACAATTTTAAACACATTTATGCACACATTTTCTTAATTAAATGTAGAGAGGGAAAAGTATAATTCAGAATGCTTTTTTATTGCTAACATTATTTGTGGCATAGCACAATTTTAAGGGTGTTTAAGATTTATTCATTAATATTCATGTTGTCTTGCTGTAAAGGAAAGAAATGTTCAATTTTGTAAGAAAGCTAAAACAGTCAATGATAATTATAGTTTTGAAATGTTGAAATTGAAGTAATAGTTGTATATCTCTTTCCATTATTATTGTAGTGATAGTTTGTGTTGTGGATTACCTCCCCTGACGAGAAGGAATCCTTCACATATTGGTGTAGAATAAATTATATATCTGTGTATATATTAAGTATTTCATCTGTGTAGTAAGCTATTTATAGATATAGTAAAGGTGTATGTTTACTTTTGATAAGCCCATGCTTGTACTTCAACTTGTTTCTCGATTTTAACAGATCTGATGTTGATGGGTTAACGGATGTGATGGTGGGATGTAACAACAATCATCTTTTTTTTTTTTTATACATATGGGCTTATCAGAAAATAACATCATATTTAGTGATTAACCTTAGCTATTAGCATTTAATCTTCAAACACTAAACATTAATTGGCCATCAGCATTGGACAACATAAGAGCTAGTTTTCAACATAAATCTAAATTAGAAATCAGAACACCACCCCCAACCCCCCCCTAAAAAAAAAAAAAAAAAAAAAAAAAAAAAGGAAAATTGCTTATGTGATTCATTCATAAATATGGACCATGTTTTGATTTGCTGGATTGTTTTTGTGATTTTCTTAAGAAAATGTTTCATCTGAAGGAATTATCAAAGAGAATTTATTATCATAATTGCACAATTTAATTTTGATAGAAAGAAAACATTTAGTAATTAATCAGATATACTGTTAGATAGATATAAAAGAGTTGGGTAATGATACAATAGTTTTAAGTAGTCACCAGGAAAATAATATCACAAAGAATCATGTGAGGAACAATCAGTCATTAATTGTTTGTTGTGTTTTGTTCTACATTTATCACGTCCATATCGAGTGTTGATTAAATGAGGCACAGAAAAACACAGAATCTTGGGAGAAATTTCCTATTTCTACGAGATAAAGCTTTGAAAGTTGTCCTGTCAACAAATTTATGCAAAACTAAAATTCATGGTTTTTAACAAGCGTTTTTGTTTCACATTACATGAAATTTATAAAAATGTTATCAAACACATGCTTTCCATAACCTTTTACATCTACAGCACAATGATGTATAATTAGCATGATGTTTAGGATTTTTCACCTTCATTGATTCCATACATGCAATCAAAGGTGATTTTAAAATCAAATATCTAGATTATGATGTTGATTGTTTTTGGTAATTAGTGTTAACATAAGTATTGTAAATATCTTAGCATGTCTTTCTTTATATCTAGTTTTATTTATTGTCTCTAAACATAGTGCTAATGAACTCCCGAGATCACTTACACTAAAGTTCATTTTAATTCGTATTTCACAAATTTTTAGCTAATAGATTTTTTTAAAGATCTAATGTAAAGGTTGAAAATGGTTTCCATTGGTATTAAGTCAAATATTCTTTTGATCAAGTGTATGCATACATGAAAGTTTTTTACAAAATTATTACTAGATGTTCATTTACAAGATATTGTTTTTATTTGTAAATCTGTATTTTGTTTATTTTCTGTTATGAATGATAATACTTATTTCAAATAATTTGTATTTAAGGTCATTTTATAAATGTAGTGAATTAAAAATTTTGTTTTTAGTATTTTGAAAGTGTTAAATCTAGAATATTTATAGCATAAGAAGACTTCTTCCAATCCTTGAGATTGGGTCTTACTTTCATATTTTGAAATTCAAAAATCCTCTAAATACATTGTACACATATGGAAAATGACAAAATCCCTTAAGCATAACTTCCAGAGTCCCTGGTTTAAAATTGTCTCTGGTAAGTTGATGACGTTGTTTCACCTTATCTCTGTGTGATGTTTGTGATTATCATCATATTACTGTTCATATGTACTGACTCATGTATTTGTGTCAAGTATGTGATAAAATGTACTGTAAGGAGCATTCAAAATATAATGAAAATAAAACAAAGAACACTTTTAAAATATTTGTTTTCATTTTGTGGTCTTGCAACTTTGGATGGAATGTTGATTTCTTTTGGACCAAAGTATCAATAAGAGGCCCCAAAGGGCCTTTTTCTCGAAAGGATCAAAGGTACATAATAAGATGTGGGCCTCTGATGTACTCACCTTGCCAGAAGAACACTGTTAGAGTATGAACGCCAATTCTCTCTTTTGATAGATCAAAGGTACATAATCAGATGTCGGTATCTGATGTACTCACCTTGCCAGAAGAACACTGTTAGAGTATGAACGCCAATTCTCTCTTTTGATAGATCAAAGGTACATAATCAGATGTCGGTATCTGATGTACTCACCTTGCCAGAAGAACACTGTTAGAGTATGATGTACATAATGAAGATTCAAAGGTACATAATAAGATCGGTATCTGATGTACTCACCTTGCCAGAAGAACACTGTTAGAGTATGAACGCCAATTCTCTCTTTTGATAGATCAAAGGTACATAATCAGATGTCGGTATCTGATGTACTCACCTTGCCAGAAGAACACTGTTAGAGTATGAACACCATTACGCTTTGATTATGAAAAATCATGTTTATTTCACAGTTCACAATGACAGATTGGATTAAATTTGACCTGAAGCATGGTAAAGCCTTAGGAATTCATGGCCTGAACAGTTGTGGGTATGGAGGGTATGGTCCTCTTTTAGTCGAAAGCAGAGAATTTGAAAATGTGTTTATGAGATGGCAGCCATTGTTAGTATTAAACAAATCTGAAAAAAAATCATCGCTGGTTAGGCCCATCCAAGGATTATTTCATAAATATCTTTTCTTCAGAATTGAGATGACAGCCATGTAATGTTCTGACCAGTAAAACACTAAAAACTTTAACAGGCAAGAGGTGATCAAAACCTACTGGTTGAATTTCATATATATATACATGCCAAAACAAGGCCTACCATATTTATTAAATTTAGTTGTCACTTTCTACTTCTGTCTCTCCCCAAAATTAATACCTCTTTACAGGTGATTATCTCAGGACAGTTCATGAAAAGTTGATTAAATGCTGTTCATTCGTTTTCCAAAAACATTTTTATTTTTCAAACTTCGTAACTGTGACTCGTCATGACATGTCTCAAAGAACATCTTAAAAGGAAAACTCAACCACATTTCCCAACTGTCATTCAAAAGTTTACTTCTCAAAACAAATAGAAACTAACACAAGCAAATCTGTTAAGGTGTGATTGCCATATAAAAATTTGATTCATAATCCTCTCAAACACAAGAGGAATGTGTCTGAAATATCAAAAAGTATTCTTGGAATGCATATGAAGTATATCTTAAATAATAAATGTTTGCAAAAGAAGTGAATCGCATTACATAGTGTGTTTATTCACCAATAAACTCAAATGCAAGCTTTCTATAAAGTGTTTCTTTATAAATTCCTGTGGCGACTTCTATTTACATGACTTTTGTATTCCATCCATTTTCTCAGAAATAAAAATATGTTATTGTGTGTATGTATACATTATTGTTTCTATTCTCTATCTACTACTAACATGTTTCTCTTTTTTTTAAAAGATCGTATGAGCAATTCCGTATTATACAATATATACATAACACAATTTTTTCCATATTTATATCTCTTAATCCTACCAGAAAATTACTTACAATATTTTCAATCCTACCAGAAAATTACTTACATTATTTTTAATTGTACCAGAAGATAACTTACATAATTTTTTATCAAACCAGAAAATTATATACATGTATTATTTTTAATTGTACCTGAACATTACTAACATAATTTTTTATCCTACCAGAAATATTATTTTTAATTGTACCAGAAAATCACTTGCATTATTGTTCAGATACTGTAGTCTTTCCTTCCCTCACCTTTTCCCTCATAACATACAATACACATACATATTTTCAAAGTAATCATATTTTATGATTTATTGTGGTGAAATATGATTTTATTGATTGTAGTTTCTATATATATTTTATTTATAGCAATTGTTGTGAATAAACAAATTCCTTATGATGCTAAATTTACAAAACAGTAAGAGTGAAATAAAATTTGATGAATCAAATTTAGCATTTCTACAGAAAACATATTTGACATGCAATATAAATCAAAGCATAATATTTGGAAAAACAGATATCAATTCAATATGAATAATACATAATCAATTGTTTTTAACACCAAAAATGACAATATTATGTAAAGCATGGCAAGGATTTCGTCAAGATTTCTCACTGTATTTTAACTCATTTAGAAAAACATGATTTCATTTGGATTTTTGCTGTAATCAACCGGCTATTAAACAATGTATAAAGTTTGTACACAAGTAAACAGAAAGACTTAAAGTATTAAGTAATTAGCATAAAAAATCAATTAAACAAATCAAAGCCATATAAGGGTTAACTGAAAATAACAATAGGAAAAATGAGAAACGTTCTTTTTGTTCAAAGAGATTCGACATACTATCCAATGTAATATATATAATGTAATATATAATATGTAATAATATAATATGTAAAGGTTTCTTAACGAGAACATAAAGCACTTTTTTCAAAGCAACCTAGTAGATAGTCATACAAACAGAGATCCCGGAGGGATCTTGGCACCCATCCTTGTTTGGTCTTTATTTGTTCTTTGAAAGTTGCGGTCCTTCTGTGGCAGTCAAATCCAAGATGGCCAGCTGTCAGCCATTTTGATTTTCTATTCAGTTCCCAAAATCAAAGTTGCACAACTAGGGACAGATGGGAACCTACATGTAAAATTTGAGAAAGATCTATTCAGCACTTAAAGAAAACAGCGATAACAAGTATTGTTTACAAATGGTACACAGACCACAGACCATGGACGTAGGGCAATCTGATTAGTCCAACTTCTGATAAAGTTGGGCTAGAATAATAAATTACCCTAATTTCAAAATTGAAAGTAATATAAAATTTCTTAAAAAACATTTATCGTCAATTCTATCAAATGTTTCTGAAAATAAATCTACACGTATATACAATAACATTTCGTATTTGTGTAACAACTGTGAGACCAATTTGTACACATTCCTTAATCAATTTCTCCTGTTAATTATCTTTGTAATCTAAGATGTATTACAAAGCATTTAACATCTACAAATCAATATCACTTTATACCTTGTCGAGTAGTGTAGGATAAATGTCGGAATTTCAAACAAAATTATCTCCATATGAGATTCAAATAAAAACGATATAACTGTAAATTTGAGCAAGCGAGTATGTTACAGCAGTTTCATCTTTTCAGCCATTGTGTTATGGTAACTAAATGAATACTGACTTTCTGCTTACTACAACAATATGTAAATCTCCATTAATTTATCTATATATTTCAGCACTAATTTATCAGAATTAAACAGATTTATCAACAGATAAAGTACATATCAACATTGAGAATTAATTAACCTGTACATTTCAGCACTAATTTATCAGAATTAGACAGATTTATCAACAGATATGATATTTATCAACATTGATAAGAACTAAAGTTTATCAACTGTTTAACACTTAACATTAACATCTTAAAGAATTTCTTTATCAAAACCAAACATTTGTTTAAAAATAAAGTAGTATACACCAAATAAATTCATACACTTACATTTATCAAAATCAACATTTGTGTAAATGCAAATGATGAGATTCTCATAAAGGTCAACCATTCCAGAAATTTATATCATAAAATATTATCAACATTCATGAAGCAACATTGTACAGGTTATAAAGCCTAAATTCACTTTCAGACCATTATCATTATACATGGATTAAAAGTAATTTTTCAATACAGATTTGTAACCCTGGTATATACTAGCCTTAATATACTACCACTTTCTTAAATCAAGTTAAAGAGAATTTAGTTCTCTCTAGCTGATACCATTTACACTATTAGTCACAATCGCTTTCTATTGTGAATATGCCTTAAAAAAATGACAGTTTATCTAATTATGGAACTTTTACATAAAAGCTATCTGACTTGAATAGATACTGGTTATCTGATGTATTTATCCCATCCCAGCACTACAGGTTTTATTTACAAGAATTTAACAGATATTTTGTATACCAAATTATAGAAATAATATATTCTGGAATCCTATGGTTAAGTAGACATTTTACTGGAACAGCACTAAGTCAGGAACTCATAGAAACAAAATCTTTTTATCATATCATGCCTTGTTAGTGAAACCTGGACTTAAAGCATTACACCAAAGGTCTTGGGTTCAAGTTGTCATTTCATAAAACTTAAAGCATTACACCAAAGGTCTTGGGCTCAGAGTTCACTGTGAAAATTAAGTTGTGTATTACCTATAAATAGTAACGCAGTAATTTCAATTTAAAATATAAATTTGTGTGAATCACATGATAACACATAAAATAGAGAATCAGATATTTTACATCAATATCAATAAAAAATAAAGGATAAACTATCTAGATAGAGTTTTAAATATCACATTTCCTTGTGTATCATTACAGAGTAAAGGTATATCACTAAATATATGGAGGATAGCAAGATTTAGCGAGGCAGGAGTGTTTTACTTGCTTTACATTTAGGCTGCTAGCCAGCTAGCAGTAGATTTGAAATTGAAAATTGGGGGAGGGGCAGTGGCAACACACATACTTATGTGGGTATTTAATGCGATTTAATCACATTAATTACTTTTGACTAAAAAGTCAGAGGTGGGCGGCATAAGGATGGGTGGGCTTATTACCTGCCATGGGGTTATTAACAAATAAATAACTATTTTGCCAAAATTTAACTTTCATCAACTAATCAGACTTTAGGTTTGGAAATTATACAAACCCTTGGAGGGTATCCAGCTAGCTATTATAATACCTTGTATCATTTAATATATTGAGACAAAATATGTGTCTCTTTTTGTTAGGTATTATGCAAAACAAAACGGTATCAACATGGGTTAAAGATCTTACAAATCTGTTTAATTTACATCAGCTACTCTGATTAAATACATTAAAAGCTGGCTCTATAACAAAAAATACTTCATAAATACAAAAACATGTCTCTCATATAAACATATGATTCATATACCATATATACATTGATCAAATACGCAAGAAACAGAAATTCTGATCATATAAACATTATTTAAATAAGAGCGTTATTTCTACCCTGATATTGAAGTGTATGACCATCAATGTTGAGTCTGTCCCTAAAAGTATTCATCTCCTCTTTACAAATGTTTATATGTTGGTAAATTCAATAAACAATAAATTAAAAGATTATCAAAAAATTAAGCAAGTCTTTTTCTGTCTGGGAGAACACTGAAGAACAGAACAATTACAGAACTTATTTTTACCATACTTGTACTTTGCTGAACCAAATGCTGTTGACCAGATATAGTTTGTTAGAACAAATTCTGGGCAGAAAAAAAAATCTTATCTGATACTACACATCACTCTGTTTTGACTTTGTTGGATCTTCTTTTTACAATAAATATCTTGTTTCGACTAAACACACCTCTCATGAGAAGACACATTTTTGTTTGGAGAGATACATGATTCATTGGAGATAAATTTTCTGATCAAACATCTTTTAACAAAACACACTTTGGTTTGTATCATTGAATACAAGGAAAATATGGCACTATGAGATACTACACTCATTGTGTTTAAAGCTGATAGCTAGGTATCCACCAAATATTCTTAAGGTGAACTTAAAACTGTTCACAGCTATTTTAAAATACATCATGTTTCAGTGTAAAGGAGGATGCTTCCTCTCTAATTAAGATACAAAGTAATTAAAATGAACAGTGACAACAGTGATGCAATGATGTTAGAAGCTTGTATATTGCAGTTATAAAGTCTTTATAAATAGCTAATGATGTAGCCGTCTAAGTCACACAGAAACTTTGTTCTATTTATCATCTATATCCAAAGTTGATATTGCCGTTCTTAGGTGGCATATTGGCACGTGAGGGAAGCTTGGGTCGGTCATCTGGTATATTTCCATACTCCGGAAGTTCGTCGTTTTGTTGGTTCTGATACAACTTACTAGGAGACTCTGGTGGATTCAGAATATCCATTAAGCGTTCAATTATGCGAACAAAAGCAGGACGTTTGGTGTGATCCGTATCCCAACAAGACAGCATCAGACTGTACCTACAACAAACCAATATATTAACTTCAATTCTTGTAGCCAAGCTTTTTTAGTACAATGTTCTTGTATGGTGATAACAACTTGATGGTCATTTATGAACTGTAGTATCATAGTTTTCTTACAATAAACCTAGGGGTCAACCCATCACTTCTTAAAGTCTGGGGTGGGCTTATCATTGAACATTAAGATAGCACTCAGTCTGGCTATTAACTCTTTTAAAAAGAAATATAAATGGGTGGGCTTATTACCAGACATGGGCTTATTATTGGATAAATATGAAAATCCATTTTTATATATTTAAACAGTTTGTTAATATTTATAAAGTAACAATGGTGTAGTATGAGAAAGTGGAGCCCAAGGTAAAGTTAATCGCAGTGCATTATGGTGTATTTCCTAACATCAATACAATGTATCTAGAGTAGGAATCAACTGATATCATCAATAGTTTTAATGCGTTTTGACTCTGTGAGCTTTAATGTTTTACAGTCCAACCTTATTATCTCGAACTGGGTAAGACCATGAGAAAACTTTAAGATAAAAAACCAAGTATTCAATTCAAGTGAGTACAAATGTTTTGTGTAAAGTAGGCTGGGACTGACGAAATGTTTGGAATGAAATGGCATGTATAAGTTATACAAGTTCAAGATAACATGCTTTAACTGTGTATTGTATCAATTGTTCAATGTTTCCTTTCATACAGTGTAAGTGGACATTGAATGCAGTAATAGTTACATTTCGTCAGGTACAGTCTCTGGTTTTCCGAGACGAAACCCACTAATCACATGGTCTTTGATATCCTCATTCTTTTCTATATCGAAGTAGGGCAGCACAACACCACGTGACATCACTTCCCACATCAACACGCCGTATGACCACTAAAATAGATATAAACTAGATTTTATCAATCATTCATTGTCAAGTAACAAGAAGCCACAAGGGTCTGTATGCTTGTAATTTTATCAATGATCAATTGTCAATAAACAAGAGGCCACAAGGGTCTGTATGCTTGTAATTTTATCAATGATCAATTGTCAATAAACAAGAGGCCACAAGGGTCTGTATGCTTGTAATTTTATCAATGATCAATTGTCAAGTAACAAGAGGCCACAAGGGTCTGTATGCTTGTAATTTTATCAATGATCAATTGTCAATAAACAAGAGGCCACAAGGGTCTGTATGCTTGTAATTTTATCAATGATCAATTGTCAATAAACAAGAGGCCACACATCATGGCGAAAACATATTTTGATAAATGGAATGAACATGTAATTGTTTAAATCATTAACTATGATTTGATTTTATTTCAATTCACATAGTCCATTCACAATGTTCAGTTTGACCACTAATAAATCTGGCAAGACTTCTGAAATATAACAGCACACACTACAAATTCTAATTCAAGAAAAATGGTGAGACTTACCACATCTGTACTGGTACTGTAGAAGCCGTACTGAAGACTGTCCTGGGCCATCCATCGTACAGGAAGCCAGCGTTCACGTTCAGAGTCATACATGTACTCATCTGGGAACAGGCTCCAAGAAAATGAAGCATCTGTGATTTTCACAACATCACCTGGACATACCCTGAATATCACAAAAAATCTAGTTTTAGAAAATAACATATACAACATATATAGTTATCAATTATCTATTTACAGGCTCACCACGAAACGTTGTGACCAAAGTAAAATGTAATTTTATTACAATAAACAAACAATTTTACATCACAAGGTGATAGACTTAACTCACGCACCAACTATCTGTCTGTTGAGTGACTGTGACAGACTTAACTCACTCACCAACTATCTGTCTGTTGAGTGATTGTGACAGACTTAGCTCACTCACCAACTATCTGTCTGTTGCGTGACTGTGACAGACTTAACTCACTCACCAACTATCTGTCTGTTGAGTGATTGTGACAGACTTAGCTCACTCACCAACTATCTGTCTGTTGAGTGATTGTGACAGACTTACCTCACGCACCAACTATCTGTCTGTTGAGTGATTGTGACAGACTTAGCTCACTCACCAACTATCTGTCTGTTGAGTGATTGTGACAGACTAAACTCACGCACCAACTATCTGTCTGTTGAGTGATTGTGACAGACTTAACTCACTCACCAACTATCTGTCTGTTGAGTGATTGTGACAGACTTAACTCACGCACCAACTATCTGTCTGTTGAGTGATTGTGACAGACTTAACTCACTCACCAATTATCTGTCTGTTGAGTGATTATATATTATAATAAACATGCAATTTTACATCACAAGCTGTTTTACTCACACACAGTTACGAGAAGCAATGTCACGATGAACAATATCACTAGAGCTGAGGTAGTCCATTGCTTCAGCAATCTTCTGACAGATCTCTATCAAAGAGAAGAATGTGAACTCCTGTAAAAAAGAAGGTAAAAGTCAAACATTATAATGATCTAGAGCATTCTAAAATATTTCATAGCTGTTAGCTATAAAAAGATTTCCATTTAAATTACTTGTACAATTACAATTAGCAGTTCAGGAGCATAGTTACTGATCATCTTTCACAAGATAATTCAATAAATGAGGTGACAACATTCAGAAGATTATAAAAATAAGGAATATATTGCAAGTTTGTTAATGTTACAACTGCATGTTTTGGATCTTTTTCTCCATGTTTCATTGACTGACAAAGTAGCATTAATTCTGGACATCTACAGACAGCCTGGCAAACATATCCAGTACACTATCTCCTTAAATTTGTTACAGGGGTGCTAAAAGACATTGAAGCACCAGAGGTAGTGATTTATTCAGTCATAGCTCCATATAGGTGGCACAATTTTGTTCCATATAAAAGAACATACTTGGAAGGCAATTTCATTCCAATATGGTGACCAACAACAAATCTGACCAGACAGTTAACTTGGAATATATATATTTTGAAAGATTTCTAGTTTCTGAGACGCTGTTTTCAGACATTGACAACAATACTGAGTTTGTAACAGCATAACTTTGCTAAGAGCAAAAAAATGACACTTAATCTTAAACAGATTTGATTTCAACAAATAATAAACTTAATCATTGATAGAGTATTTATTTATATCTAAAACTCTCATGTAAAGACAATACAAGGGGAGGAAATGTCGCCAAATACCTGTTATAAAATGGATATTGGTATTCAGTGTATATTCTGGCTGAGCTATAAATCATTTTGGAATTGGTTTTATTATATTATTGAATTATTCAAAAAAATAAACAACATACATAGAAAAATGAAAACTGTACAAATAATTTGAGGAATATATTTGTCATTTTATTGTTCAATTATTTGTTAATCAATTGACAACATAAGTCAAGGCATGAATATTTTTATTTGATATTAAAAACTTATGAATATGGTTATTTAGTAGCTTGGTGTACGACAACAGACGAAGCACATTGGCTATAGATCATCTTGACCTTTCAGGACAGATTACATAAAAATGATGCTCCCAATCAATACAAGCCCACATGCAACCTTTGGTACATAAAACTCTATCTGTTGACACCTATGTATTTCACTGAAGCCAAGAAAATGTTATCAAATTTGTTTATTTGTAATACTCACATTTATTGGCAAAGTATCAAAAAACTTTTTTATATTTCAATTTAAGTGACTTAACCCAATTTCTTTCCATGTTATCTATTTTTCTTGCAGCTTATATTCACAGAATACTACATAAGTATTTATATAAACTGTGGTTGATGGAAGACATCATAAAGGAAAACTGAAAAAATCAGTTTCACAATCAAAAGTAATTTTATTACACAGAATAGGATCATTGCAGTATGTATAATTTAAGTAAATACTATAATTTGTAGGTATTTCAATAGTTCCTTTTTCTGTAGTAAATTAATCTTACCCATATATGAAATAAGTTTTTAAAAGTATGCTGTACACAGTTGCGTATCATAATATAAGATCAGGTAAAACCATTTCTCTCAAGTTTTTATTTGTTCACCTCACTTTACTTTCTAAAGAAAAAGGCACATAGGGTCTGTATCGCTTACCAGGATCTGAAAGCCCAGCAATTTTATATATCCCTATAGGTTGGGTATTTCAAATATTTACAAATTAAAGCTCAGTGGCTAAATCTCTTTCTTAAATATCATTACTGTCTTTCCTTTTTGATTTTCAGTAAGAGTTTATATGGTTATCAGGTTGGTATCCTATATAAAAAATAGTACACAGAAATAATGTTCCTTCAGGTGTGCCATACCCAAGAGTCAATTCTTGCATAACAAATGTGTTTATCTTTTGATGCCAAGCAATCCTATATGTATATGGTTATGGGATGGGGATTTCAAACATTTCAAAGTCATCTTCGAGAAATTAAGTCCAGAGGGGTGGCCCACACCCAAAGGTCAGTTTTTACATTGTGAATTTTTACATTTATCTCTTGATGCCCAGCATTGTCATACATGGTTTTGGGGTGGGGATCTCAACTGTTTCAAATATATTACCACGACACTGAGTCCCTAGGAGTGGGGCCAGACCCCAGGGCCAATTCTTACATCATGATTGTGTTCATCTCTCGATGCCCGTCATTGCTATATATGGCTAAAGTTAGAACAAATCTGACCCCAGTGACCTTGAATATATGGCAAGTTAATTTTTTTTTCTAAACTTTATCGAGCTTCATCATAGAAACATACCAACCAAATATCATGACTCTAGGCCTTTTTAGATCATGAGAAGAACTTCTTTAAAGGTTTTAACAAATTCAACTCATATGACCTTGAATATAAGTCAAGGTCATTTATTTTTGCAAACTTTGTCAGGTGTCATCCTAGGAACCTAACAGCCAACTATCATACCTCTTGGCCTTTTAGGTCATGAGAAGAAGCTGTTTAATTTTTTAATAAATTTGACCCCTGTGCCCTTGAACCTTCTTCATTGTTTTTGCTCTCAATTACATGAAATTAAAAAAGTCCTTTCAGAAAAAGCAATCATAATCTTTAACTATTAAATCCAAGATGGTCGTTTGTCAGCCATTTTTGTTTTCCTAATCAGTCATAAGGGACATGTGAAATCTGAGAGAGATCTATCTTTTCTAAAAATATTTTGTATATAGTTGGCTGGAAATATGAAGATAATCAACCATAATTAATGAAATGTGTTTTTTCTTGCTTCATTTTCACAATATGTTGTCATAATATAAATAAACAGCATCAGTTTTGGCAGATTATCTATCAAATAAAACCATGTCGGAATCCACAATTATTTATACTGATGTCAGCCCATCTAGAAAAAAAGGATTACTGCCAAATTCTATTTAGCTCTTACTGCATTAGTTTCTTTTTCAACCGAAATCATCATCTTTGCCTGGACCCCTCAGTCAAGATGTAACATATCACTGAAAATGATCCGCAATGAAAACAAACAACATTGTTGGTTTATTGGTTTGTATGCATAAATAAAAATGCACCAGAAATATCACCATGAACAAGTATTGATGAATTAGTGAACTCTCTTGTTTACGAATGGAGAATTCTTTTCATTAAATTTTATTCACTATTTTGTTAGTGTGTTACACAGGAGTTTCTTTAATTTTCACTACTAACATAAAATCTTACCTGCTTTCTGTCTCGTAAATATTCCTTAAGGATTCTCTGTGTGGCAGGATATAGGACATAAAAACGATTTTCATCTACAGTGATGCCACAACTCCGATGGATATTTTCTTGAAAGCAATCTCGGAAACGTAAGGTCTCAGCTAAACCTGAACCTACCCACCGAGGCAAGATATCTTCACCTGACAGAAATAAAGTTACTACGTAATGCCTTCAAATCATATTAAAATATTTCACCAAGTTCAACTTTTCTTTGATATGATTTTTATGAAATCATTTCTACATGTCAAAAACAACCCAATATTTATTTTATAATGAAAAACATTCAAATAAAATACATTGCCCTATAATGAAATTGATTTTTTTCAGACAATAAAATTGAAATATTGAATAATTTATTTTTGTTAAGTCTAATCAAGTAGTTTATCTTTTGGATTGATTTGCAAACATTTGATCTTACCAAAGTCTTTAAATTCCTGAACAGTGGTTTTGATAGTAGCATCCTGCCCTTGAAAGGGACCTTCCTGAAACTGTCCATCTATCACTCGAATCTCAGCCCCTGAAAAATAGTTTTCAATATACCAATTTCAATTAATGATTCCAAAACAAATACTGGATTTATCAATTCCAATTCTTGATCTAAAGGCTAACAAACATATGTTAATGTTCTATAAATTAAGAAAAGATATTCATATACAAGAAAGTAAAAATACGCTGCAGTATTAAGTTGACTGTATCAACGACACAATAAAAGCCAGAAAGTCTTTGACTTTGTAGTCTTCTAAGTGAAATAACAATATTTTGTGTAAATTACATTGTATTAAAACTATCAGGAGCAGACATGTTCATGTAACCCTGGCAAGACATTTTGGACAGATTTGTCAGGCCTCCCATAAATTGTTCAGCAAAGTAGCTACCAGCTACTACAAAGAGACCCTGCCTCAAAATGACCCTGGCTGGTCACAAGGTGATACACCCAACAAACAGGTGTACAATTCACAATTCTTGAATGGAAAAATTTAAGTTGTGCAATTGACATGGTGTCAATTAAAAAACACAAATACGATGTTAGAGAATTCAGTTTGAGTAATGGTGATACCTTTTTGTGTACAGCGAAGTCCAAGTTTAATTACAGAACGCTTAGATAGACTAGAATTCACCTCATCACGCAGGGTAGCTTCTAGTTTGTGAAGGAATGTTTCCACAATGCTTTCCTCACTCTCAATAGGTGTCAATGGATGACCTGACATGTCTGTGTAGTTGTTACGACGAGGTAGGTTATTGGTAGTTTTTTCGGGAACAATTGGTGTTTCAAGGCTGTCAAACTGACTTGCTCCTGGCATGGAGGCTAAAAATACATAAATGTAATCAAGTTGTAAAAATAAAAATAAGATAAATTCTAAAATAGGCAATAAATACTCTATTACACCCAACTCTTAAAACTCATCAAAATTCCTACAGAAATAATAATACTTAACATAAAGTCATTTGTCGAGGCACCTCTCCTCCAGACAACAATTAATCATTAAAACGAAAAGTGTTTATCATTTGTCAATCAATACATTAATATGTACGGCATCCTATTCATTCAAATCATTCTCCCAAAAGGACTTGACTGTCTATAGTAGAACAAGTGTTGACTTCTTGTCCTCTGTGCATAAATTATGAATCACATATCCAGTTTTATATTTTCATTTTTGCATTATCTTTTAAGGAAAATAATCTGTCAGTACATAGCAATGTTGCATCAAAAGAAATGAAAATTCGGTGACAAAACAAATTTCCAGATTGTTGAAATCCGATAATCAAAAACACGCCACAAATGGAAGCTGAATTAGTCCATAATGAAGTTAAAATGATTGTATTTAATCTTAGTACAATTCTTTTGTCACTGTAACAGCTCTGGTCAACATGTACAGGTAAGTTGCTGGGCAGGCATGTATGTAGGATAGAATCACATCTCAGCAGTTTACACTAAATATTAATTGTGCTACTTGCAGAACATGCTTTGGTTCAGCTTAATGAGACTTCTGATGCAGAAGATAAAGTTTAATGACATTAGAAAAGACAAAATGTTACTTGTGGTATATTTGAAAGTAAACAACCTTATGTGAGCTGAATGTTTAACAAATCAAGTGATCAAATTTCCTGACAATAATCTACATAAGCAAGTGAGCCGGTAAATAGATATTTTTATGCTCCATGCCAATTGCATCCTGTAATAACATTTGAATTTATGAGATCATGCTTATGAAAGATAATTATGTACAGATCTAAGGGAAAGATAACTCTGTACAAATCTAAGGGAAAGATAACTCTGTACGGATCCAAGGGAAAGATAACTATGTACAGCTCTAAGGGAAAGATAACTGTGTACGGATTCGAGGAAAGATAACTTTGTGCAGATCCAAGGGCAGTAAACTATGTACCTATCCAAGGGAAAGATAACTCTGTACAGATCTAAGGGAAAGATAACTTTGTACGAATTCGACGAAAGATAACTTTGTACAGATCCAAGGGAAAGATTACTCTGTTAAGATCCAAGGGAAAGATAACTCTGTACAGATGCAAGGCAAAGGTAACTCTGTACAGATCCTAGGGAATGATAACTGCATACAATGCCAATAGAGAAATAACTCCATACAGATAAAAAGGGTAGTTAACTCTGTACAGATCTAAGGGAATGATAACTTTGTACAGATCAAAGGGTAGTAAACTCTGTACAGATCTAAGGGAAAAATAACTGTGCAGATCCAAGGGAAGGATAACTATGTACAGATCCAAGGAAAAGATAACTGTACAGATCTATGGGCAGTTAACTCTGTACAGATCTAAGGGGAGTTAACTCTGTACAGAGCCAAGGGAAATATAACTCTGTACAGATCCAAGAGAAAGATAACTCTGTATAGATCCAAGGAAAAGACACCACTGTACAGATCCAAGGAGAAAATAACTCTTTACAGATCCACGGGAAAGGTAACTCTGTACAAATCCAAGGGAAAGACAACTCTGTACAGATGCAAGGGAAAGGTAACTCTGTACAGATGCAAGGGAAAGGTAACTCTGTACAGATCCAAGGAAAAGATAACTCTGTACAGATCCAAGGGAAAGATAACTCTGTACAGATGCAAGGGAAAGGTAACTCTGTACAGGTCATAGGGAATGATAACGCCATACAATGCCAATAGAGCGATAACTCCATACAAATACAAAGGGTAGTTAACTCTGTATTGATCCATGCCTCAAGCATATCACAAATTAATTGACTTACACCTGATGTCTGTTTCTATATGTGTGTACGAGAACAAGTCTACACCATCAACCGAACCTTCATCTATAGAGACAGAATCAAAACTGAGTAAAGTACAGAATTATCTGATGATGATGATATAAGTGTTATATAATCAGACATGAATTTGTGGCCTCAGTTCAACTTATCTATTATCATATAACCTTAAACATGCAACATTTTCAAAGTTTAAAACTAACAGAAATATATCATGATTTTCATTCTTAGAGATTCCATGATCAACAAGAAAGTAACATTTTTGTTGTTAACAATACATTTCTCAAATTGTCAAATCGTCACAAAGCAGTTCCATTTCTTATACCACTTACAAGGCAGCACATTTATTGTCACTGTTCATAACCAAAAAAGTACCCAGTCATGAAAAATAGTGGCAGCATCTGCAACTTTGTATGAAAATGTCTTTGAAATATTCTGTATGGATGGTTCTGTCAGTGAATCTGTATCATTGGTTAATAAAATATACTATAGGAATAGTAATGGCCTTGACATTGGAATCCTGAGGTTATACACCATCAAATTTTTGCAAGAAATTATTTAAAATCATGTTTTGACAATAATGGGATAGGACATGACAGGAAAAGTCATGGAAAGGAGATAGGGACAAAGAAGTAGGGTCAATGGTAACACCACTCCTCACTTCCAATAGACACTGAGAAAATGCCAGAGATAGTGACTGGAATAAGAACAAAACCAGATAATTATAGACTGATGAAGGTGGACATTAACACTTATTGATTACTAGTGATTGATATTTATATACAGCAGTATGACAAAGGTCTTACTATTTTTACTGGAATGCTTTCTGTCTTTTCCCATTTTATTTTTCTGACATCGATGACAGCACTTTACTATGATGACAGTTGTGATGATAAGAATGACAGCGCCACCCACACCTGCAGCGATGATAATAAACTGCCAGGTAATCCAGAATGACTTTATCTTCACAACTCCCACAGTCGACTGGAAATTTCCGATGATGACCTAAACAAAATTATCTCTATTAATAAAAATTGTAAGGTTTTTTTTAATAAAAAAAAAAAATGAAAATGAATTTGTTTGACAAAGATATATTTCTGCCATATTGTATTATTAATGTTTTATATACAAGTAAGAAAAGTTGACAGACAAGAGAAGACTGACAACGCATCATATTCTACAAGATCACTTACGCCCTCTCAACTGGGAGAGCTGGTAAGATACGTGTTTTCTCATGCCCAACACCATTTAACAACCAAGTGGACATAGGTTTGGTAGAGTGGGACAGATCTACAGTTGTCAGTGGGTTTTTTCTACTGAAAACTGGTAAACATTTACACTTAAAACATACTCTTTTAACATGTTAATGTTATCCTATCTAAACAGACCTTTCATGAATTCAGTAGAAATGGTCATCCTATTTAAACAGACCTTTCCTGAATTCAGTAGAAATGGTCATCCTATGTAAACAGACCTTTCATGAATTCAGTAGAAATGGTCATCCTATGTAAACAGACCTTTCATGAATTCAGTAGAAACGGTCATCCTATGTAAACAGACCTTTCAGTCTGGAATGGGGAGGTGTTGGGTACCTGTTTAGGGGCTATATCAGTCTGGAATGTGGAGGGGTGAAGTACCTTTTTAGGGGCTATATCAGTCTGGAATGTGGAGGTGTGGAGTACCTTTTTAGGGGCTATATCAGTCTGGAATGGGGAGGTGTTGAGGTCCTTTTTCGGGGCTATATCAGTCTGGAATGTGAAGATGTGGAGTACCTTTTTAGGGGCTATATCAGTCTGGAATGTGGAGATGTGGAGTACCTTTTTAGGGGCTTTATCAGTCTGGAATGTGAAGGTGTTGAGGTCCTTTTTAGGGGCTATATCAGTCTGGAATTGGGAGGTGTGGTACACCTGTTTAGGAGCTATATCAGTCTAGAATGGGGAGGTGTGGAGTACCTTAAGTTCAGATTCCTTAGTCTCCCCAGGAAATCGGATCACTGGAGAACAGGTGATTTGATCACTGGTCAATGATTCTATAGGACAGACATCATCTCCAAGTTTTACCTCAATGTTATCCTCACAGGCCTTGTCAAAGTTTGAGCCCTGGAATTGTTAGAAAAAGTGTCAAAAAATATGATATTATTAATTCAGAAAAATTCTGTATTTCTTGGTCAATATACAGTTATATTGAACAGAATATTACCTTTTTTACATATCTTGATGTCAATACCAGACATGTATTTTGGTGACATCACATAAGTATAAGATTGACTTTTTCAGGTTCTATTATCTTGGTAATAAAGGTAAGTTGTAAACATCTTTGTACATTGAGATTAGCACTCTATTATATCACATTTGACATGATACATTCGCTAAAAATAATTATCTTGTATCATCAAAATTCATTTCTAGGTGTCAATTCTATATAAACAATGGGACTTCATATTTATGAATATAAAACTGAAACAAATGAAAGATTCTGACCTTAATAACTAGATTCTTTGTGAAGACATTGTCAATGGTTAAAGCATTGTTGGGTTCTACTGTTGGATCCTCTATAACCTTGATTGTACCACCAGGAAACATAGCACTCAGATCCTCGTACATTTTCAAACCATCCAGTTGTAGCCCATAGCTGGTTGTTGACAAACCTGTGTAATTTCTGAGATCAGGAGACAGACAGTTGATCAAACTTTCTCCAACAGTTATACAGGGCTAAAAAATAATTCAAATATTTCAAAAGTGAAGTTAGAAAACAATTCTTTGAAAGTTATAAATCAAAAAAAAACAACAACAGGGAGTCTAGTTTCCTTGAAATTCACCTGAGATAAGCAATGTTAAATATAAAGTTTAAACAGTAAGTAGCTTCAGGAATAGGAAAATTTAAAAGGAAATTGTGATATTGATGTAAGCCAGTAACAAAACATGCATACCAATAAAACAGTCATCCTATACTAGTAAACTTACAAACATACTTCCAATTGGAAATAAACAATTTTATGCTCAAACAATGCAATTTTTCTATAAAAAATATAGTAAAGTTAACCTCCACCCCAAGAGAAATGTAAGACACATTTTGGTAAAGCATCTTAAGATACTTCTATCCATGAAGAGCATTTGATTCTACTATACCTGGGTGTTGAGGAGAAGAATTTGGAAATCTGAGTCAAATGGACCCCTATGGCCCCACCTATCAGCCCCTGGGGCTCACCCAAGATCAATATGGGCATATCATCCAGCCATCATCCTTCACTATTAATTCTAACAAAGTTTCAATTATTGCAAAAGGAAATTTAACAAAGGAAGCTCAAAAATCTATCTTTTCAATATAACCTATAGTAAACTTTACCCCTCCTTATGGGGAAATGTCAGACCCTGGGGCTATGAATTCACAATTTTGGAATAGCACTTTAAGGTAATTCAAAAACCATTTGTTTCTACCACATCTAGGTTTTGAAGAGAAGAGTTTTGAAAATAAATCAATTGGACCCTTTTGGCCCCACCCAATAGCCTCTGGTATCAGCCACAATCAATATGGGCATACCATTGACTGTCTTCAATTGCTCACAATTCTACCATATCTGGGTGTTGAAAAGTAGTTTATTGACATTTGAGTCAATCTGACACTTTTCGCCCTGCCCCTCCAGCCCCTGTTGGATGGAGACCGTATAATTCACTCGTTTGGTTCATCTTAGGCCAGGAATGATTTCTGAAAAATTTCATTGAAATTGGTTCTGGGGTTTTTTAGAAGAAGTTGAAAATGTTAAAAGTTTATGGATGCACTTTGCACAATGCACAAAGCTGACACCGGTTCATTTTCAGAAAGTATACTTTGTCCAATATTTTGAGTAAGTAATCCCTAATGTTTCCAAGCAGATGTTTTTGAGAATCATCTGTGAAAGTGGACTTCAGTGAATAAACAACAACTTACCCCTTGCAAGACCTCTGTGTTTCTAACATGAGTGATCAGTCTAGATTTAAACACACTTCCAAAGTTACTTCCCTTGATCTTCACAAAACAACCACCACTAAATAAAGTAAAAAATGAAAAAATTCACAGAAACATTTTGAAATATTTATGTTTTCTTTATCTGAATGACAAATAATAGCCTTTGGCTGCTCAAGACTGATGGCACAAAGGCTGCACAAGACTGATGGCAGTCATCATAGTTTTGAATAAACACACAAATTTCAAAATATTTCATTTTTTCCATAACTATTGTTTGCTGTTTTGTTCATTTTTGTGAGTTGTTGTGTAAGATAACCAATTCATTTATTCATCTTGTCAGATTCACTTGGTTATACATCTATCACAGTAATAGCAATACAACATTTGTTGAGATCGAGTGCACATATTGCAGTATACCATTGTTACTATTTACTAAATCTTATCCATTATAAAACATAATAGAAAACATGTAAACATTTCTGAGGAATTATTTCTCAGGTGTTCAGAGAAAAAACAATATTTAAGATTTGAATCTGCAACTCTGTGAATTCTTGTTCAGTTTCTCATGAGTTGTAATTGATTAGGATTTCACAAATGATCCACAGTTACTTCACAAATATTGGCTTTTAAAACTTAAAATACATAAATATTATAAACGAGATAATGCCACAACAGTCAAATTACATGTGATTTAAATAATTGTTAACTAAAAACCAAGATTTGATGTTTTTTTGTATTGACTGGTGTATCTCTTACAAGAGATCCCACAGGGCTCTTGGTGCCCACCATTGTTTGATCTTTGTAAGAGATCCCACAGGGCTCTTGGTGCCCACCATTGTTTGATCTTTGTAAGAGATCCCACAGGGCTCTTGGTGCCCACCATTGTTTGATCTTTGTAAGAGATCCCACAGGGCTCTTGGTGCCCACCATTGTTTGATCTTTGTAAGAGATCCCACAGGGCTCTTGGTGCCCACCATTGTTTGATCTTTGTAAGAGATCCCACAGGGCTCTTGGTGCCCATCATTGTTTGATCTTTGTAAGAGATCCCACAGGGCTCTTGGTGCCCACCATTGTTTGATCTTTGTAAGAGACCCCACAGGGCTCTTGGTGCCCACCATTGTTTGATCTTTGTAAGAGATCCCACAGGGCTCTTGGTGCCCACCATTGTTTGATCTTTGTAAGAGATCCCACAGGGCTCTTGGTGCCCACCATTGTTTGATCTTTGTAAGAGATCCCACAGGGCTCTTGGTGCCCACCATTGTTTGATCTTTGTAAGAGATCCCACAGGGCTCTTGGTGCCCACCATTGTTTGATCTTTGTAAGAGATCCCACAGGGCTCTTGGTGCCCACCATTGTTTGATCTTTATATTCTCTTTGAAAGTTGGATCTTTTCCGAAAGAGACCAAAGGAAACATACGTATATACTTTGAGAGATATCCATTCAATACTTCTCAAGAAATAGCAATAACAATCTTTATTATGCAAAATCCAAGATGACTGCCTGTCAGCCATTTTGTTTTTTTGATCAGTCCTAAAATCAACCGGGCACCACTAGGGACCAAGGGAAACCTACATATGCAATTTGATAAAGATCCATCCAATACTTCTCAAGAAATAGCCATAACAAAAATTGTTTACGGATGGACGAACAAACAGAGGGATGACGCACTATGGACACAGAGTGATTTGAATAGCCCACCGTCATCAGATGGTGGGTTAACAATGTAATAAAAAGGTCGTTCAGAAGGACAGAGAAAACTACTGCAAAATAAAAAATCTTCATTTGACTCAAATTTTGTGGATTCATCAAAAATAAGCATTTTCATTGGCACTTTTCAATTTCATTGACAAATTATATCTCAACAAAAAACCACTAATACTGATCCCTGTTATTTATAACTTTAACTTATCAAGTTATAGGTATACAAATTTCTGGATAAAGAGTGATCGCGTCTTCAACAAAAATTAAACTTCCATGAAAAGTATGCACACAAACCAAGTGTCTTTTATAGACAGGTTTTTTTTAATACTGGCACAGAAATGGTATTTATGGCTGGGCTGACAGTATTTCACAATTCTACAAACAAAGTGAAAAAATCAGTCAAAGTTTATATTCACCTTTTGAATACTGTAGCGTTCATCGGTTCTGTAACGACAGGATTGGCTTTGAATGTGAACGTGAATTTTTTTCGGAAATCCATCTTTTCCATTCCCACAGATCCTGGCCACTGTACTTCTATGTTAATCAAACCTGTATCACTGCTGCTATTGGTTACAAACACCAGGCGTTTCTCCTCCAATCTTCAATGTTAATAACACAAAGCATATTGTATTATTCTAATAAAGTCAACTGTGTTCCTTTCATAAATTTTATAATTAGATGTGACACTGTATTTAATTGGTTGGTAGAAATAATCTGTGATAATAGGGGTTATACTATTAACAGAGGAGATGTTTCCCTTTTTCCCAAACTTAATTACAAGAAGCAGTTAATCTAACTTCACTTCATCGTTTTCCCTAATTATTTAATATAGCAATCATTGAACAATACCAACCAGTATGATGAATATTACTGCCTGTGTTAGACTATTTGCAGAATTGTCCTCATGACATAACTTAAATTGCATGCATATCTTAAAAACTTCCTAATCGTGATAATCAGTATATCGTTATGATAAGCCATCTGCCAATATCTAATTTACAAAAGCAGCATTCACTATGACTGGGTCCATAAATAATCAATCAAATGTCTTTTTTAGTCCCTGGTCTTAATCAACGGTCAATTTGTTTCAATCAGTTTTACTGCCAGAAAAGTCAAATAAATGTTAGAAAGTACAATGGTTTAAACAGGATTCAATGCAATTTTAACTCTCTTCATATTCCATCAGACTGTGATATGTTTTATTTATCTCTGGCAGAGTTAAAGGTACATTTAAAGACTATCACCAGTTCCATTTGTAGTACCCAAGTGTATCTTTTAGTCTGTGTTACATGCATGACTGACTGTGATATCTAATATTTGTGTTGTATTGTTGTTATCCAGTCTGTAATAAGACCATTGGGTATGTAGAATTGGAAATAAACAGGGCAGATCTGACAGCATTGAACTAGTGACATCACATATGTGGGCTGCCCATCTTAAGACCATCACTGTTGATTCAAAGGTGTGCATGTCAGATAAATCTCAATAACTGGGAAACAGAATTAACTATAACGTCTGCACTTTCCTGCCCCTTTTATTGTACGACATGAAGTATTTATATCTAAATATAGCAAAACACTCAGGGTACACTTCAAGCATTGACAATTATATTATGCCATTAACTTTTATACATCTATATAGATTTTGTGTTGATATACCCATTTAAAATGTTTAGCATTTCTCTTTTACGTTTTAGTTTGTTTGATGTTATTTCGTTTTGGATCGCTGTGTGTTTTACTGGTTGATGGCCCTAATAACCTTTTAGATGTTGACGGGCTGTTAAGAATGTCATAATGATAATAATTGTCTGAACCTAATATTCTAGGGGTAGTGATAACAGAATTAACTATAATGTCTGCACTTTCCTGCCCCTTTTATTGTACGACATGAAGTATTTATATCTAAATATAGCAAAACACTCAGGGTACACTTCAAGCACTGACAATTTTATCACACCATTAACATTTATACAACTATATAGATTTTTTTCCACTTACATTTTAATGGTGAAGAACCCTTTTCTGCTGATGTCCAAGACCTTTACTTCAGTGTTGTCACTATTATGTTTGAAGAAGTTTCCTGTGACTGTAACATCCGTGCCTCCAGCCACTGGACCAAAAGCTGGTACTAAACTATCAGAGTCAAACATTGGATTCTACAAATGCACAAAAAAATACCTTGAGTATAGTATTAACACTTAACTTTTTATAACCCTATCACAAACTTGAGACAAGCATGTCTTTCATGGTCAAGATTGCTTCATACTGAATTCCATGGAAACGTATAGGAAAGGAGGGGGATGTTTTACCTATCATGGATACTTATGGGAAAGGTGGGGGATGTTTTACCTATCATGGACACTTATGGGAAAGGTGGGGGATGTTTTACCTATCATGGACACTTATGGGAAAGGTGGGGGATGTTTTACCTATCATGAACACTTATGGGAAAGGAGGGGGATGTTTTACCTATCATGGACACTTATGGGAAAGGAGGGGGATGTTTGACCTATCATGGATACTTATGGGAAAGGTGGGGGATGTTTTACCTATCATGGACACTTATGGGAAAGGTGGGGGATGTTTTACCTATCATGGATACTTATGGGAAAGGTGGGGGATGTTTTACCTATCATGGACACTTATGGGAAAGGTGGGGGATGTTTTACCTATCATGGATACTTATGGGAAAGGTGGGGGATGTTTTACCTATCATGGACACTTATGAGAAAGGTGGGGGATGTTTTACCTATCATGGACACTTATGGGAAAGGTGGAGGATGTTTTACCTATCATGGACACTTATGGGAAAGGTGGGGGATGTTTTACCTATCATGGACACTTATGGGAAAGGTGGGGGATGTTTTACCTATCATGGACACTTATGGGAAAGGTGGGGGATGTTTTACCTATCATGGACACTTATGGGAAAGGTGGGGGATGTTTTACCTATCATGGACACTTATGGGAAAGGTGGGGGATGTTTTACCTATCATGGATACTTATGGGAAAGGAGGGGTACGTTTTACCTATCATGGATATTTATGGGAAAGGAGGGAAATGTTTTACCTATCATGGATATTTATGGGAAAGGAGGGGGATGTTTTATCTATCATGGATACTTATGAGAAAGGAGGGGTACGTTTTACCTATCATGGATATTTATGGGAAAGGAGGGAAATGTTTTACCTATCATGGATATTTATGGGAAAGGAGGGAAATGTTTTACCTATCATGGATATTTATGGGAAAGGAGGGGGATGTTTTATCTATCATGAACTTTATGAAACATTATTTATATAACTATATACAGATAACTTAACCTCATTTTAACTTTTCTTTATGCATTCATATATGTTGAAAGGTGAAGATAATTTTGGTGCATAGGATGTGATGAGCAATTCACCGTTTATCAATTTTTATTCGACTGCATTGACCTTTGTATACTCTGGAATAATTTTATCGTAACATTACAAGCCTAAAGACCCTTTTTGAAACTGTTGAGATTACTAAAATTCTAGGATACCTGAAAGATGATGGTCTGTATTACAGACTATGACTTACAATTTTAATCTTTTGTGATGATATAACCATTTAAGATTTTAAACATTTGTCTTTTACCTTTTAGTTTGTTTAATGTTATCTCCTTTTGCATCGCTGTGTGTTTTACCGGTTGATGGCCCTAATAACCTTTTAGATGTTGACGGGCTGTTAAGAATGTCATAATGATAATAATTGTCTGAACCAAATATTCTAGGGGTAGTGATAGCTGAGTTGGTCACACAATTATCAATGTAATCTCAAGTGAAAAACCGAGGTGAATGGTTCAATATATCAGTGGACGTTTATTTATCAGGAAACTAAGAGAACCAGGTTAAGTCTGATCAGACAGGTCTGTGTCTTTGGGCAAGACATACTATTGTCCTGGTCAACAAGACCCAATCTGAAAATGACCCTCTTGCTGTTCACAGGATGATAAATCAGCTAATAAACAAATAGCAAATACATCTATTTTCAAATTCAATCAATACTCAGATACCTATTAAGTACAAATGTACTAAATATGCTTCATAGAATTGGTTTCTCACTGACATTCACACTGACTTTGAATGCCAAATGGATATGAAAGCAACTGCATCATTTTAAGTCCTACTAAACAATTTTAACAGCTAAGCCAAGGTATTTGATATTTCACTACAGTTTCCACATACTGAAAACACATTATGAGACTTTGATTTACTTACACATTGTAGGTTGTTGGAGACAGTGTACAGACATAAACACTGCCCAGAGGCCATGTCACATGATGTGATATCCTGAGAACCAACTTTATTACAAAGGCATTTCTCACATCCCATGGAATTTCTAAAATTCAGCTTTTTGAATCCTGGTTTACACATATCACACTGTCTACCTAAAATATAAAATACAGAAAAGGTTCAAGTTGACATCATAACTAAGAATGAATGGTTCATGCAATCCACAGAATGTTTTCTTAATCCTAAAAGATGACTGATGTTTACGGTAAGGTTCAATCTGTCATTACTCCTCAATCTGATTAAAAGTTAAAACAAGAACAGCAACAGAGTATGTAACAAGTACTGGTACCAGACCATATATTTGTAAGAATACCATGAGATACTATAAAACTTTTAGACAGCTTTTCAAATGTTGTATTTATTCTAGGTTATAAGAATGTCTTACCTGTTACAAGTTTCTTACCTGTGATGAGTTCTTACCTGTTACAAGTTTCTTACCTGTGATGAGTTCTTACCTGTTACAAATTTCTTACCTGTGATGAGTTCTTACCTGTTACAAATTTCTTACCTGTGATGAGTTCTTACCTGTTACAAATTTCTTACCTGTGATGAGTTACCTGTTACAAATTTCTTACCTGTGATGAGTTCTTACCTGTTACAAATTTCTTACCTGTGATGAGTTCTTACCTGTTACAAATTTCTTACCTGTGATGAGTTCTTACCTGTTACAAATTTCTTACCTGTGATGAGTTCTTACCTGTTATAAATTTCTTACCTGTGATGAGTTCTTACCTGTTACAAATTTCTTACCTGTGATGAGTTCTTACCTGTTACAAGTTTCTTACCTGTGACGTGAAGTTTGCAGGTGCAGTTGCCTGATACAGTGTCACATACAGTACTCATTGATGTGTCAGTGCCTTCTGTACTACAGGCACAGGGCTGGCAGCCTTCAATACCAGGATCCCGGAGACCGTAATGATTGGGGGCACAACTGTTACATTGCGTTCCAGTCACATGACTTTTACACTGACAAGCTCCGTTATTGTCACAGCTCGCACTGCCGGATTGATCACAGGCTGTGCATGGCATGCATCCATCAACATTGGAGGAAGTGAGGTTAAAGAAGAGATTTTTACAGGTATCACAGTGGTAGCCCTGTACATTTGTCTTACACAAACATCCTCCTGCATCCTACAAATGTGAACCAAAATTTATATTATTGCACAGCAAATTACATATATGAAGATGTTTTCACAGGACTCAATGTGGTATTATTATGATAAGCCTTCTGTATTACATACAGTGACACCGCGTCCATCCTACAACTGATACATACAAATTAAGATCAGTTTCATAGAGTGATAACTTAAAATGTACTAAAAATCACTTTATAAAATTATCATGTATAAACCATCTCTCAAAAGAATTTTGCAAACAAAACTAGAGACGTTCAATCTATAGGCCCAAGGGACATAAAGAGAAGTTTTCCCTAGACAAGTGGTATATTGAGGTTATTGTTAAGTTGGGTTAGAGACATATAAAAAATATTACATGGACAAATTGACTAGATAACACGTCTAATATATGAGAGAATATAGTAGTGAATCATCATAGTTTATGAGGCAACTGTATAATGAGTGGATTAAACTTGATTTCATAAGTCAATTCATTACACAATTAGCTGTGCCCACTGACATAAAATAAGAAGTCTGGAAAATCATGTCTGTTCCTATTTAACAGAATGTAATCATGACATTTCAGTCTGCATCTCAGATTTTGCTTAAACAATTAGGCTAGGAACCAAAGTTAATTAATAGGTGACTTGTTGTAAACAAAAATAATGATCTAATTTTAGTTCAATATCCCTACCCAACATAACTGCATTGAGAACATGAGTGCAAACTGGGAGATCATAAACGCTTTCTGCAGCCAAGGGCCATAACTCTAAAAATATTGGGTTTAACGAGAACCAGAAATAAATCTCACCTGTATCATCTAGTAATAAACTTATGTCAATTTTTAGTACATTATCCCAAATCATGTCTGAGACAATCTGCAGAATACATTTAATTAGAAATACATACATGTATTCCTGTCTAGTTGTTTGATTTTTTGTGGAATGTCTCCTTTTACAATAAATTGCGCATCTGCTGAAAATTCAATTCATTATTGAAACATTTGCTGGAAACTTATTTTTGAGCTATCTTTTGATGATTGAAACATAGCAAAATTATATCCTCCATGAATATTTACAACTAGGCAGAAACTACGAAATTTTCCTGTCGCATACCTGAGCTATCTTTTGATGATTGAAACATAGCAAAATTATATCCGCCATGAATATTTACAACTAGGCAGAAACTACGAAATTTTCCTGTAGCATACCTGAGCTATCTTTTGATGATTAAAACATAGCAAAATTATATCCTCTGTGAATATTTACAACTAGGCAAAAACTACTAAATTTTCCTGTCGCATACCTGATTGCACTGTCCTGTGGTTTCAATTCCTGGTGCACTGCTACAGTTACATGGATAAGGACAGTTAAAATCATCTGGAGACTGGTAATACCCTGTGTGACATGTGCCACAATCCTCTCCAGTTGTACGTGTAATACTTAGACAAGCACAACCGCCTCCTACTTGGAGATGATCAGCGTTTCCAAAACAGTTCTCTCTAATGAATGTAAAAACAATGAAGAAAAATCCCATCACAGAAGAATTGTAAATACGCATAAATTGAAATATCAATGCTGCTCTACATTCACTTTCAGTAAGATTAATGTAAGTGTGAAATACCAGCTAGGGTTTTTTTTCACTGGTTTGGAATGGAGCATTTCTGCCTCAATTTGGGAAAAAATTGATAAATTAGAAAGGCCATTTTTAGGAGTAAAACTGCAACTTTTGGGAACTTGGCTTAAAAACAAAATAATTACAAGTCAGGAAGGGGACATATTTTTGTCCTCAAACAAGTCCTGATAACATAATATTAGTTTGAACAATTAGTACAATTAATCATTCATTACTGGTGTTTGTCTACAAATTTTACTCAGAATACTGAAAAAGTTTAATCAAAACCTTGCACAAAAAAAGGTATTTTTCATGGAAGTTGAGAAACAGATTATAGGTTTCACTTTTTATTCTATTTCCATGGTAACTATTTCGTTGTACTTTTACTTCATTATCAAAATGAAACACCTCAAAACGAAACTAATTAGTAAATGACAGTCACCTGACAAACAATTCAATGAATACAGTCCCCTGCTGAACATATGGTCGAAATATAGATCTTTGTCACTATTTGGCAAATACAGAGTTCCCTGCCAAACCATTTGTCAAATTACAATCCCCTGTCATTCAAATGAGCAAACTACAATCCCTTGCCAAATGATTGGATGAATTCCATTCTTCTGCCAACTATTTGGCAAAACTACAGTCCCCTGCCAATGATTGGGCAAATTCCATTCCTCTGCCAACTATTTGGCAAAACTACAGTCCCCTGCCAATGATTGGGCAAATTTCAGTGCCCTGCCAACTATTTGGCAAAACTACAGTCCCCTGCCAACGATTGGGCAAATTTCAGTGCCCTGCCAACGATTTGGCAAAACTACAGTCCCCTGCCAATGATTGGGCAAATTCCATTCCTCTGCCAACTATTTGGCAAAACTACAGTCCCCTGCCAATGATTGGGCAAATTCCATTGCCCTGCCAACTATTTGGCAAAACTACAGTCCCCTGCCAATGATTGGGTAAAATTCCATTGCCCTGCCAACTATTTGGCAAAACTACAGTCCCCTGCCAACGATTGGGCAAATTTCAGTGCCCTGCCAACGATTTGGCAAAACTACAGTCCCCTGCCAACGATTGGGCAAATCCAATGCCCTGCCAACGATTGGGCAAATTCCAGTGCCCTGCCAACAATTAGGCAAATTACAGTCCTCTGCCAAACTATTCACAGTGATCAACATTTGATACGAGACATACTGCCTCATCTAGAGTTGACAAATGCCCCATGCACATTGGACCTTGTACTATAAAATTTATACCAAATAGCTGGTTATTTTTGCAGGAATTATACTTTTGTTTTCACACAGTACATTAACATGACTAAAAAAAATAATCAGTGAAGTAATGAAATGCCAGTGTATTAGGTGTTCTTTTACATCTAGATCATGATATTTTCATTTGTTAAAATGTAATTTCACCATTTTTATTAAAAAATCGAGAAAATTTTCATCCATGAAATTACCAGCTTTAATATGGTATTCATGACATCTGTTTGGTATTGGACAGGAGTGGATGGGAAATGGATGAACATTGATAATATGATCATCCCCTGGCTGAAATGGGTTGGAGAAGAATAATAAAAGACGAACCTTCTATTGATTTTAATCTCCACAACACGATAATCATCTGCAGAATCGGCATGACCAGATAAGGTGATGTTGATAGTACTCACTAAACGCTTCATCAACTCTGAGCGGGTGTCTATATCAGTAATACTTCCAGACGACCAAGTAGTAGTGTTGGAATCAGGCCTAAAGGAGACAAAAACACTAAGATCATACATACCGTATATATATATATATATATATATATATATACAATATGTACAAATGAAATTCTAAATATTTAGCATTAGATAAAAACCAGAGTACACAAATTTTAATAATACTTGTGTGACGCACATTTTACATTTATACAAATTTTTATAATCCACTGTGTTAACTGGATACATTTAGATCTCATTTTAAAAATATTATTTCAACCTTATTGGTGTGTCGTTTGTTGCCCTTTCAACTTCTTCATAATTATATTGAATTAAATGAGACAGAGTCATAACTTACTGAATGGTCACATCTTGATGATCTGTCCCAAGGTTTGACCCAAACTGAAGGATAACATACAATGGGATTGTATTGTTTACTTCAATTGTGATACCATCAACCTGAAACAATAAAATATCATTCAAGAAAACACTTACGATATTTGAAATAATTTTATTTTGTATCATTAATGAACAAAATATGTAGAACAGCCGTGTAGTTTAATTACAACAATTAACAAAACCATTCCATTTGAAATGGATGATATACATAAGACTTGAATATTAAGATGGATATATTTACATCGGAGGAGTTCTAGTACAAAGCAGAATCAAAACATGGTAATCTTGTCTGAAACACAAATCCAGGAGAGGACATTACCTGATACACTCGATTCATCCTGAGAAATATCCATGCTCGTTCTGTAGGTTTTGTTACCCAACTTGTGTCTGGGTCATTGTCAATAGCAAAAATCGGCAGGTGAGTCTCTGTCCGAAGGCGTGGTACAGTGTTTGATGTACGGTTGCTACACACTAAAAGATTGTCTGAAGATGAATCCCGAAGGATTGGGTGTGTTGGAGGGCAGCGGCAATTTAAGGGAGGTGTGTTCATGTCTGGTGATGAAGATGAAGACAACTGTACAATCTCCCTGTTAATGTAAATAAAACAGTTAAGCATAATCCTTTAATATCAAATCTCAGAAGAATTTCAACATCCATCAATATAAAATACATTTTACTCTGTAAAAAGACATACTTTTGGGGGGCTTAATTTTAGTGTGTTTTTTTTAATCAGTATTTTATGCAGAATTAATTTCCCAAAACATATAGCTCTAGAATGAATGAAATGGTAAGAAGAATCAAGTTGTATGATTTTATAAACAACCTGTCTATAAACAGGTGTCTCACTACTCAGCAACCTCTGTCTATATACAGGTGTCTCACTACCCAGCAACCTCTGTCTATATATAGGTGTCTCACTACTCAGCAACCTCTGTCTATATACAGGTGTCTCACTACCCAGCAACCTCTGTCTATATATAGGTGTCTCACTTCTCAGTCTCACTACCCAGCAGCCTCTGTTTATATAAAGGTGTCTCACTACCCAGCAACCTCTGTTTATATAAAGGTGTCTCACTACCCAGCAACCTCTGCCTATATACAGGTGTCTCACTACCCAGCAACCTGTCTATATACAGGTGTCTCACTACCCAGCAACCTCTGTCTATGTACAGGTGTCTCACTACCCAGCAACCTCTGTCTATATACAGGTGTCTCACTACCAAGCAACCTCTGTCTATATACAGGTGTTTCACTACCCAGCAACCTCTGTCTATATATAGGTGTCTCACTTCTCAGCAACCTCTGTTTATATAAAGGTGTCTCACTACCCAGCAGCCTCTGTTTATATAAAGGTGTCTCACTTCTCAGCAACCTCTGTCTATATATAGGTGTCTCACTTCTCAGCAACCTCTGTTTATATAAAGGTGTCTCACTACCCAGCAGCCTCTGTTTATATAAAGGTGTCTCACTTCTCAGCAACCTCTGTTTATATAAAGGTGTCTCACTACCCAGCAACCTCTGCATATATACAGGTGTCTCACTACCCAGCAACCTGTCTATATATAGGTGTCTCACTACTCAGCAACCTCTGTTTATATAAAGGTGTCTCACTACCCAGCAACCTCTGTCTATGTACAGGTGTCTCATTATTCAGCAGCCTCTGTTTATATATAGGTGTCCCGCTTCTCAGCAGCCTCTGTCTATATATAGGTGTCTCACTACTCAGCAACCTCTGTCTATATATAGATGTCTCATTATTCAGCAGCCTCTGTCTATATACAGGTGTCTCACTACTCAGCAACCTCTGTCTATATATAGATGTCTCATTATTCAGCAGCCTCTGTCTATATATAGGGGTCCCGCTTCTCAGCAGCCTCTGTCTATATATAGATGTCTCACTACTCAGCAATCTCTGTCTATATATAGGTGTCTCACTAGTCAGCAGCCTCTGTCTATATATAGGTGTCTCACTACTCAGCAATCTCTGTCTACATATAGGTGTCTCACTAGTCAGCAACCTCTGTCTATATATAGGTAACTCACTACCAAGCAACCTCTGTCTATATATAGGTGTCTCACTACTCAGCAATCTCTGTCTATATATAGGTGTCTCACTACTCAGCAACCTCTGTCTATATACAGGTGTCTCACTACTCAGCAACCTGTCTATATATAGGTGTCTCACTACTCAGCAACCTCTGTCTTTATACAGGTGTCTCACTACTTAGTAATAACTATGTAAGGAAACGTATGAAGCGAATACTAACATCTTGGAATTTCTTCTCCACTTTGCCGTTTTACTTACCTTTGAGTAATGGCTTCAACGAAGAAACGAAGATCTAACAGCTTAATGGTTGCAGTAGAAGGATTGATAACAGCTGTAAATAAAGAAAATAAACCATTAATTGAACAACATGTATTCACCTTTAATTTATGTTGAATTGCTAACATCAAACAATCTTTAGGGATTCCATCAACCACTTATTCCTATAAAATATATGGTAGACAAAATGTGATTTTTTTCAGGCACTATATTTCATTAGTAAGCACTTTTCATTGCCTAAATTAACACACAATGGACCCATTTGATCTTGAACATTGCCCAGGTCAGAGAGAGACCAGGACAAATTTCATAAAGATGTCTTCCTTTAAAACATTTCTGGCCTAACGACTACATTTGTTACTCTTAGGTTTATTAGAAGAAATGGTTGAACTCATTTAATACCTGACTGACACATGAGATAACTTCCCTTGTCTGACAGTGTAATGTTAATTCACAATCCAAGATACTGGGATTTGAAATGTCCAGCCAAAGTCTTGCTGACAGCTGGACAATTAAATATCCAATCATGAAGATTGAGATTTTCTGCCCCGCTCCCAAAATGGGAACTTGGGACTATTTTTGCAATATTTCAAATACGCTGTCTCTAACAATAACCTTTATCAGTGTATCATATGTCTGTCTCCCATTGTTGTGTATGAATGTGATACATACATATACAGGTGACTTTCTACCACAAAATCAGTACACATATTTATAAAAAGACATCGCTGATGCTGTAGGCACCTGAACGTATGTATGTTACATGGAGTTGCCTCCCTTCCCATATACATGTCACCAATGATAATTAGTGGTTCTTGAAATAGACTTGTTAAAAAAAATCTCTTGAAACATTTTCATAATGAGACCAAGATTCTGGGTGACTAAGATTAGAGTTGTCTTCCTTGAATGAATATACCACCAAAATATAGGCCTAAATATAGGTAGAGATTATACTATGCCTTGCTTAAGTCCATTTCCTCTATTTGGGTAACTGTAAAGTTTTGTTTTTTTAGGCATGGTCTTTTCCATATTAGAAATATAAACAAGATATGATTCACCGATATATAGAACCATTCATAACAAAAAATGTCATTACATCACACTTCACTCAAGCCCTCCTAAACCATTTCAGGTCGCATCTTCAAGCTTTTCTCAACTTTAGTGAGATATGGTTTGATCAAAGTTTGGGCTAAAAACAGTTCAGGAATGCATCTGATCTTTTGGAGGGAAAATTTATTCTCTCCAACATTTTTTACACTTGCACCTATATTTGTGTTTAAAGTCTGTGATGCCAAAATGTTGTGACAAAAAAAAAAACAACCCAAAAAACAGTCGGCTATTTTAGTCAGTTGACAAATACTTAATATATGGATAATGTAAAATGTCTATGTAGTAATATGTCCATTTCTGTTCATAAGCCTGCACTTACATATTGCTGCTCAATGATGATATAAACAATGTTATTTCATTGTCCCGATAAACCCATTCGGTCCCTAATCTGAGTAAAATGCCATGTGTTAAATGTTGCCCTGGACTAGTTGCATTATTGATATTCTTAACAGACAATGCTTAAATCAATTCAAGTCTTTCTAAACTTACAATAATTGTCAAACTTAATGTCCCCTTTTGTAGAGAAGGAAGGAAACCATGTCTTAACAAAAGAATTCCGATAACCTCCATCCAGGTAATAATCACAGGTGGATTCCAACTGTTATAAAATAAACAGTAAATATGTACAAGTTTCTATTATATCAAAAGTGTACATTAATGTCCATAAGTAAGGAAAATACTGATTAACAATGATTAACCAAACTGAGATCTATTTTACTAATGTATAACCAAACTGAGATCTATTTTACTAATCTATAACCAAACTGAGATCTATTTTACTAATGTATAACCAAACTGAGATCTATTTTACTAACCTATAACCAAACTGAGATCTATTTTACTAATGTATAACCAAACTGAGATCTATTTTACTAATGTATCACCAAACTGAGATCAATTTTACTAATCTATAACCAAACTGAGATCTATTTTTTTACTAATGTATAACCAAACTGAGATCTATTTTACTAACCTATAACCAAACTGCGATCTATTTTACTAATGTATAACCAAACTGAGATCTATTTTACTAATGTATCACCAAACTGAGATCAATTTTACTAATCTATAACCAAACTGAGATCAATTTTACTAATCTATAACCAAACTGAGATCTATTTTACTAATGTATAACCAAACTGAGATCTATTTTACTAACCTATAACCAAACTGAGATCTATTTTACTAATGTATAACCAAACTGAGATCTATTTTACTAATGTATAACCAAACTGAGATCTATTTTACTAATGTATAACCAAACTGAGATCTATTTTACTAATCTATAACCAAACTGAGATCTATTTTACTAATGTATAACCAAACTGAGATCTATTTTACTAACCTATAACCAAACTGAGATCTATTTTACTAATGTATAACCAAACTGAGATCTATTTTACTAATCTATAACCAAACTGAGATCTATTTTACTAATGTATAACCAAACTGAGATCTATTTTACTAATCTATAACCAAACTGAGATCTATTTTACTAACATATAACCAAACTGAGATCTATTTTACTAATGTATAACCAAACTGAGATCTATTTTACTAATGTATAACCAAACTGAGATCTATTTTACTAATGTATAACCAAACTGAGATCTATTTTACTAATGTATAACCAAACTGAGATCTATTTTACTAATCTATAACCAAACTGAGATCTATTTTACTAATGTATAACCAAACTGAGATCTATTTTACTAATGTATAACCAAACTGAGATCTATTTTACTAATCTATAACCAAACTGAGATCTATTTTACTAATCTATAACCAAACTGAGATCTATTTTACTAATGTATAACCAAACTGAGATCTATTTTACTAATCTATAACCAAACTGAGATCTATTTTACTAATGTATAACCAAACTGAGATCTATTTTACTAATGTATAACCAAACTGAGATCTATTTTACTAATGTATAACCAAACTGAGATCTATTTTACTAATGTATAACCAAACTGAGATCTATTTTACTAATGTATAACCAAACTGAGATCTATTTTACTAATGTATAACCAAACTGAGATCTATTTTACTAATGTATAACCAAACTGAGATCTATTTTACTAATGTATAACCAAACTGAGATCTATTTTACTAATGTATAACCAAACTGAGATCTATTTTACTAATGTATAACCAAACTGAGATCTATTTTACTAATGTATAACCAAACTGAGATCTATTTTACTAATGTATAACCAAACTGAGATCTATTTTACTAATGTATAACCAAACTGAGATCTATTTTACTAATGTATAACCAAACTGAGATCTATTTTACTAATGTATAACCAAACTGAGATCTATTTTACTAATGTATAACCAAACTGAGATCTATTTTACTAATGTATAACCAAACTGAGATCTATTTTACTAATGTATAACCAAACTGAGATCTATTTTACTAATGTATAACCAAACTGAGATCTATTTTACTAATGTATAACCAAACTGAGATCTATTTTACTAATGTATAACCAATCTATAACCAAACTGAGATCTATTTTACTAATGTATAACCAAACTGAGATCTATTTTACTAATGTATAACCAAACTGAGATCTATTTTACTAATGTATAACCAAACTGAGATCTATTTTACTAATCTATAACCAAACTGAGATCTATTTTACTAATCTATAACCAAACTGAGATCTATTTTACTAATGTATAACCAAACTGAGATCTATTTTACTAATGTATAACCAAACTGAGATCTATTTTACTAATGTAAAACCAAACTGAGATCTATTTTACTAATGTATAACCAAACTGAGATCTATTTTACTAATGTATAACCAAACTGAGATCTATTTTACTAATGTATAACCAAACTGAGATCTATTTTACTAATGTATAACCAAACTGAGATCTATTTTACTAATGTATAACCAAACTGAGATCTATTTTACTAATCTATAACCAAACTGAGACCTATATATATATTTCTCTAAATCATTGATGGCTTGAGATGTATAAAGTGTTCTGTTGTATAAGAACCATTATTCTTTATGTGCTTAATCTTATAACAGAAAAAATTATCTTCCCTGATATGGTAAATGACATACACAATGCTTCTGTAACTAGTTACATTTCTATAAGAAATAATATATACTAACTAGTTAGATATTACTTATTTGTGATTTTAAACACAGCTGAAGAATACAAAATGAATACTTTAAAAACTTACAAATCTCAGCACAATATGTTTCCATTTATCGACATTGTCATCTAGATTGCTTTTGATGGTACTGCCACTAGCTGATGCCAAAACAATATTCCTTCCTCTATTTGTAATCTTTAGATAGAGAGTATTGCTGCCTGAGGTCAATGAGAACAACGGACTGAAAACCAGAAATGGAGACTTAATTTAGAATGCAATTTTATTAAAATGGGTTGAGCAAACTTAATGTAAGACAACTTTACAAAATACAAACATTCAAGAATATGCCTAGTGACCATTTACAGGGTTAAACATTCAGGGATGTGTCTAGTGACTATTTACAAGGTTAAATATTTAGGGATGTGTCTAGTGACCATATGCAGGATTAAATATTCAGGGATATGTCTGGTTTACGGGGTTTAATATTAAGGGATATGTCTAGTGACCATATGCAGGATTAAAAATTCAGGGATGTGTCTAGTGACTATTTACAGGGTCAAATATTTTTATGGATGTGTCTAGTGACCATTTACTGGGTCAAATATTCAGGAATGTGTCTAGTGACCATTTGCAGGGTCAAACATTAAGGGATATGTCTAGTGACCATTTACAGGGTCAAACATTTAGGGATGTGTCTAGTGACCATTTACAGGGTCAAATATTTAGGGATATGTCTGGTGACCATTTACAGGGTCAAACATTTAGGGATGTGTCTATCAAACATTCAGGTATATGTCTAGTGACCATTTACAGGGTTAAACATTTAGGGATGTGTCTAGTGACTATTTACAGGGTCAAACATTCAGGGATGTGTCTAGTGACTATTTACAGGGTTAAATATTCAGGAATGTGTCTAGTGACCATTTACAGGGTCAAACATTCAGCGATATGTCTACTAACCAATTCTATGATCAAATATCTATTGGGATGACTTGATTATATAGTACTTATTTCTGTTTTACCTGTATCAGAGCAGAAAAAAAGATATATCAAATTTCATGCGTTTCTAAACCTCAGAAAACATACCATATCTATAAAGTCACCAAATCTAATCTCTTCATGATGCCAAAATTAAGCCAGGCAAATATGCAGACTATCATATGGCTTCAGTGAATTTTACATGTAAAACATAACTCAGATTTCAATTCATAACTTGTTTTTATCCATGTATTTACTCACTTTACCATATTGTCCTTATGAAGTTAAAAGATTTTTAATATTTGCAGGATGCAATTTTAATGTATATGAATTTACTACAAGCCGTAAATATCACCTGGTATTCACTATCACATGTGTATTCTGATTCATTACAAGCTGTAAACATAACCTGGTATTCACTACAAGCTGTAAACATCACCCGGTATTCACTACAAGCTGTAAACATCACCCGGTATTCACTACAAGCTGTAAACATCACCCGGTATTCACTACAAGCTGTAAACATCACCCGGTATTCACTACAAGCTGTAAACATCACCCGGTATTCACTACAAGCTGTAAACATCATCCGGTATTCACTACAAGCTGTAAACATCACCCGGTATTCACTACAAGCTGTAAACATCACCCGGTATTCACTACAAGCTTGAAACATCACCGTGTATTGACTACAAGCTGTTTATCTAACGATGTATTCACTACAAGCTGTAAACATCACCCGGTATTCACTACAAGCTGTAAACATCACCCGGTATTCACTGCAAGCTGTAAACATCACCCGGTATTCACTGCAAGCTGTAAACATCACCCGGTATTCACTACAAGCTGTAAACATCACCCGGTATTCACTACAAGCTGTAAAAATCACCTGGTATTCACTACAAGCTGTAAACATCACTTGGTATTCGCTACAAGCTGTAAACATCACCTGGTATTCACTACAAGCTGTTAACATCACCCGGTATTCACTACAAGCTGTAAACATCACCCGGTATTCACTACAAGCTGTAAACGTCACCCGATATTCACTACGACGTGTATTACGAGAAAGCTTTGGCCGCTGGCCTCTTCTTCAAAAACTGAGTTTATTCCATTTATCTTTTTATGACATATTCCATTCTTTTGAATTCAAATTCTCAGAAATTCTATTCAAATTCATGAAATTTCAATATGCATTAAAAACACTATAAGTAATTAAGCTCGGCCAATCTTACCAATCATCACAGGCAATTGTACTCTGCCTGATCCAGAAGGATATTGTATACCCTTTGTTTGTGACAGCAGGAATTGACACGGAAAACGTACAATTGGAGCTCTGATTAGCTGAGAGAGCTCCATTGTTCCTTTCTGCTGATCCAGGCATGTCACCCTTTACAGAGTTAGAACATCCAGTAGCATCTTCGTTCAAGTTTTGTAAAACATCCCTTTGTTGAGGCCAGTTGTTACGAGTGGCACAGTAGTTACAGCCGATATATGTGGTGCTTCCAGATGGGCAAATGGAGGAAGCCATAACTTCAGTACCAAATGCCAAAGATTCTGTTGTGTTGGGAGGATAATAAAAAGTTCCTGTGATGTAATGCCACAAAGTGGTAGCCACCACCAATCGAAAAATTCCTGATATGTATCCCATAGCTGTATGTCAGCCTTTAAATATAGATTACAGATCCTGTCTGTACATCACTTTAAAATCAGAGCCTTAAAATCCTTTACCAGAAGGCTCTGCACACTTGGTATTCAGTGTTATGTACTCAATTCACTTCTGATCATTGTCTGTACAGATATCATACATCAATGTGGTGTCCTGAAATTACAAAAACCAAAAAAAAATCAACAAAAAAAATAAAAAAAATCAACAAAAGCATCAACTGTAAAATGATACAAAAAAATAACAATTAACATTAATCATAGTTATAAGGAAGTCATTACAATTGTTCACTTTGTGAGAAACTTTTCAGAAGAGATATAAAAGTCAATTGTCAATACTGGGACACCTTGTCAGTATAAACAGATAAGGCACAGTAACCAACATTTCATTCTAAAAATTCTAATGCTCTGATGATATGGACCTTTATATGATATAGAAGACTTAAAGAATTGATAAAAGATAAAACTCAAAGTCATTATGTGTGTTGTAAACCATAGATTATAATGCCTATCAGTGGTTGAGATCACAGTTATCAGATCTTCAGTGTTAACAGCTGCTGCTCGAGTTGTTTTACATGTACTTAAAACATAAATGTGAATTTGGTACTTTATCATCATCATCAACAGCATAGTGATGATCCCCATTGTAAAGGCTTATTTATATATCTTTTTGTCTAAGTGAGATATATATTTCACACTCACCATCATGGTTTGAAAGTACTTTTGATCATAAAATCAAAATTTAAGAAAATGTCTTTACAAATGTTATACAAGACTCATATTGTCACAGAATTCAGATAAACTTTCTGGTTTAAAATTTTCTTACCTTTACATTACAATGATTTCCAATAATGTATCTATTAGTTCACTGACTTGATTCTGAACTTTAATTGTCTGAAAAAAATACAGGGAAGTATTATACAGGTTTCTGGTAAGGAAGTGACTAATAAATATTTATATGCAAATACTGGTACTGATGTATAACTGGTAACTGCAATAAGCAGATTTGGTCCATAATTTTGTTAAAATGTTTATGATTTTCCATTAAGCTGCCATGGGCTGCTTTCTGGTAGATCTGTACACTGACATATTACTGATAACTGTAACTGGCAGATTTATACATATATAGTACTTAATGGGGAGCCACACAATGCTGTTGTCAAGACTAAATAACATAAAACAACAAAACATCACATCACACATCCTGTCAAAGTACCAGAGAGCCAACACCGTGATATTTAGTAAAAGTGTGTTGCGTTCCTGGTACCCTTCACTTGGATACCTTCACCTATATCCTGTCAAACTTATAATCAGATGAGAATTAAAAAAAAAATGAACCATCAGAATTGCATAAACTGTTTTGCCAAAATAAATACTGACAAAGCTAATGAGAAGTAATATTAAACTTCCCCTCTGAAAAAATATAATAGTATAGGTACCAGATTCTGAAGTTGTACATTAAAACTGTACTAAGGCATATGCTAATTGCATACACCCTTTGTGAAACACTTATGTCTTCATTGTGGTAATGATTATTTTTTTACTTTCAAATGTAGGTCAAAGGTCACAGTCAAGGTCATATGGTCCAAAATGTTGGTACCATGGGAAAGGTCTCATCACAAGGAACACACGTGCCAAATATGAAAGCCCTAACTCTTGTAATGGGCAAGGTTAATATTGACAAAAGACAAACAGACAGCACAAATACAATATGCCCCAGATCTTTCGATCCAGGGGCATAAAATGCCAATCCAAACATAAAATCAAGAAGTGTTCAAAACAGTTTGGGAAATGTGCACTTCTTGATGTTAGATAGGTAAGATCAACATCCATAACACTACTTTAAATAGACTGCTTTATGTTATACTCTGGCTGATTGAGAAGTTTTGAGCCTCATTTTCAAAGGTTTGACATTTAGCAGACTTCTTGCCTTATTTTTCAGTGTTATCCCCCTTCAGTGCTTATACGTTTTAGTCAGTGATGTTTAAGAGCCTCAATGCCACTTTTAAACAAAAAAGGTCCTTTTCTTGATTATTCAAAAAAAACCTTCTTGCAAGTTATGACATCATCATATGACCAAAAAAGGGTGCTGAAATTGGCCTTTCGTAATTTTGGTAATAGATGATAGTCTGATGGAGTGAGATCAGGAGAATAATGTGGATTCTCAACTAGTTTAAAGTCATAATCATTAATGGCAGCCATGACAATGACAGATTTGTGAACAGAGGCATTGTTCTGGTGGAACAGCACACCATTACTGAGTTTTCCGTGATGCTTGAGTTTAAAAATTTTCTCTTGACTGCTTAAGACGTGATGCATAATGTGTGCCATTGATTGTGTGTCCCGTTTGCAGATAATCTATCATCAGAATACCATCATTATCCCAGATAACAGAGGCCATAACCTTTCCATCTGATGGGACAGACTTTGCCTTCTTTGGTGGGGATGAACCATATCATGGTGCGTCCATTGTTGAGACTGTTGTTTGGCTCTGGAGGGAAAAGAAGGACCCACAGTTTATCCAATATGTCAGAAACCTCTGCAGAAAGTAAGCCTCTAAAAGGTTCAGATTAGTATGCCAAAAAGAGCGCATGAGGTGCTTCTGATCAACGGTCAAATGTCTTTCAACTCAACAGGCCGAGAACTTTGTCATTGCAAGATCTTCCATAAGAATGGATTACAATCTTTCCTTTGAAATCCCACCTGTACTGGCTATATATCTCTCTGTAGCTCACCTGTCAGCCATAATAATATCATGGACTTTACTGACAATTACTGGGGTTGCAACAGTTACAGGCCCTCCAGGACGGGCATCATCCCCAAGGCTCTGTCTGCCAGGGTTAAATTCCACCACCAACCTTTTCACTGTAGCATATGAAGGGGCATCATTCCCTAGTGTTGCTACCATATCAGTATGGATATCCTTATACGCTAGAACTTTCTTATGCATATTCTGAATCACTGCTCTTTCAGCGATTTTTTCCATCTACCAAAAGTCACATGCCTCATTTACTTTAGAGCGCTACCTCTTTGACATAAACTGACCAAGTGACACCGGTCTTCGGGTACAGCCTTAAATAGTCAGGGAATAGTAGAGCTGAAGACATTTCTGCTTAACATCTTCCATACAAACCTCAGACCTTATCCATCAGCCTTCGTAAACACAGGAATCATTTAATGGAAAAGTAACTTAACTATTCATGCTTTGCGTCATTTGCATCTGAACAGGAAAATTGGCAAATTTCAATGCAGTGACCAGAAAGCAGACAGCAGTTCTCTGATAGGTCAAAACTATGGAAGTCATATCAGTAAGTGATGAAAGATTTCTTATATAATCAGTGTTGATTTTATCAAAATGATTAATTCCTAAATCTCACAAACAGAAATGTAATGTACAAGTGTATCACTATCATATTCTCTATGCTACAGTTTAGTTTTTTGTATTTCCATTTTAGGTAGTTGGAGTTGGGTCAATTGTTGGGTCTCATTATCATGTATTTTTGGAAAGCTCAGCCTGACTTCTATCTCCCCATTCTTTTTCAATACTTTACTTAAGCCCTTGCTTTTCACCATTAAAATGTACTGATATCTATTAACTTTAAGTTTCTTATAAGTGTAAATCTGTTGAAAAACGATAAAAATAAAATCTAAATGCTTTACTTATCTCTGCAGTAAAACGTTTTTGGGTTTAAATAAAAAAAAAATTAAAATCTGTTATCAGGAGATTTGTAGGAAAAAGTAAATGATATCCTCATATCTTAATTTGTTGCCAGAATTGATCGTCTTTTCAACAAGAAAACAGTCAGTGACATTTATCTGGCAGTCCTATAAGTGTTATCAAACTTGTTCATTTCAAGTGATCATAGTAAACAGACAGGAAAGTGATTTTGTTTTCGTGTCACTGAGTCATAAGTAGTCTTAACATATACAGTCAGTACTTAAACACTCTGACTTTTAATGGGAAAATTATCTCTTTAGTTTCCTCTCAGAACACTCCAGGCCTATATCGCTACACATACATAAGTGTAGGGGTATTCCTATGTCACAGGCAACCAGACCTACAAAATTCTGTGCTCTGAACAACATGCTATGATACCACAGATTTTTTTTGCTCTTTATTATTTTCAAGGTGAAAGAAAGAGCAGCAACTCCAGAGGTCAGGTTTGGAGAATATATTATGCATGTGAAACATGTGGACAGTCACATATTTTTCAAACCTGGCCTCAGAAGTTGGTGCTTTTTCTTTCACTTTGGTTTTAATCTACTTTTTGACAGCACCCTGCATACTCTATGGTATCCTTCTGGGACCTAGTAGATGTTTTTTCAACTATCTGAACTATTAAAATTAATATGTAAGTTAATTAAATAATTCAAAATTGTGTTCAGTTAGACATATGTAAGATTTTTAATCATAATTTTAATGCCAGAATGAGACCAGCTTAATTTATTACTGACATCTATCAACCAGTGAAAAATTACGTATTGACCAGTAGCCAGAGGCATACTGTTGTTAATGAATAAACAACACATGGTCAATGTTATTAATTTATTCCCCGATTATAGAAGTAATTACCCGAGTCTTATCCAGACAGTTTACATGAAGGTCAGTGTATACTTATCTTGTAGAAAACAACCCTATCTACAATCATTCCCATGTCACCTACCCATGTATTACTCAATATTTGTTAGTCTGTTATCTACTGTGTAATATTACTTTACCAACAGTTTCACAACATTTTTAGTACAAGAGATCCCAGAGGGATCTTGGCGCCCACCATTTGAGGATCTGTATTCAGTTCTTGAAGATTTGTTTATTTTTTTTTGTGTTACAGGTTTTGTAAATGTTCATGAACTGGTCTTCATTGAATGTACTCAATGATGGCACAAGATATTTTTATTAAGCACCTATTAGCAAATATCATTTGAAAAAGATCCCAAAGTATTATTAGATAGCAGTCAGTTACAAGTGGATAATGGACATGGTCT